ATGTTCCTACCTCCTTCCTGCCAATTTAATTTCCATGCAAAAATAGAGCATGTCAACATCTCTTTCAGCTCTCTGCTTCTTCTAGAGGTTTTGATATCAATAACGGACTCTCTTTAGGCATCGTGATTGCACCATAGCTGAATTTGACTCCTGATCTCTTAATATGTAAACTGTTGTTCAAATCCTGTAATTCCATGTTGAATTGCTGCTTAGATCCAGAAATTGCATCATTCTCATACGTGCAAACAGTGAGTCTCTAGGGCTTCTGACTACTCTTCCCTTCACCCACAGCGCTGTAATAATGATATATTTAAATGAGCTGTCTGCAAAGTACAGGTTCTTAAAACAGATTAACGGTGTTGTTTGAAGGCAGTGGTAAGGTAGAAAGGCAAGAAAATATTTAGGGAATGGCCTGCAAAAAGTACTGTGGGAGTGAATGGTATTTTGAGACCTGCTACCATCGGGATCTGGAAAAGCTCTTCTCTTTCCACCTGAACACCTGCTCCAGGTTTTTCTGAGGACTGAGAGAAGGCCCAGGCAAGAAGGGAAGTAGGATACTGATATTCATTTTATCTATGGAATTTTTATTCAGGAAAAATACAAACAAGGCGAGTTATCAGAGACATGAATGAATCCGAGAGGACAAGAAAGAAGGCAAGAGGAGAAAAACTCTGCACCTTGTAGTGGCCCAGTACATCTTTCTTCCCTGCTGATTTGTCAGCATTCCTGGTCAAAGAAGGGGGCGCATCCCCAGATATTCCATGAAAGGTGTAGTGACTTCAGTCTTCATCACGGCACAGCCTGATTCCAGGGAGCACACTGTGTATGCAGCTCTTAATAACACCTGCTCCCTGATACAGGTGACTTTGTGGGTGGCTCTTTAACTGTTTATCCAGAGCACAGGTAAGGGGCTCCTAGGAAATTGTACTTTACTGGTGATTTACACTCTGAGCACAAGCACAAGGTAGTGCACTCCCCTTGTAGTGCTGATGGAGCTGCTGCTTGTGACTATTTGTAAATATATATGTGAGGTTTGCTTAATTTCAGGTTAATTGCTTTGCAAACCATTCTGCAGTGTATTTATTATGCCAAGCTAACACTAGATTCTTTGGGGAATTTATATTGAAAAAAGTTGGGCACTTCCAGAGAGCAGAGGTTTTTATTAAATGGAAAAGGTATCAGATAGGCCCAATTAGCTGAAAAAGTATGATCTCTCAAGCCACCACATCCAGGTAAGCCCTCTTCTAGCAAGATGAAAATCTGTTTCCTGTGCTTTTAATAACGTCTTAGAGATAGAATTCAGTATTAGGACAGGTAAGAAGGTGCTTTTGATTAACCCTCCTATGAGTAGGAGACAACTTCTGATACTGTATTGCTATGGTGTCCCCATCATTTTTTCTGTTAACTGTTATGCTCTTCTTTTTTTGAATTTTTTTTTTTAATTGAGCTGAAGGCTCTACATGTCTTATGCTCATCTCAGGGGTGTTTTAGATTTTAAATCATTATAATTTACAGTTTCCTGGGTATTTAAGATACACTTTGACATTTACACAATCAAAGCTGTACTTGATGGTCTGTGGTAGTGAGTCTAATACAAAGTTCTGATCTGTGTGCGTGCAACTTGCTCCATGTGTATCTCTGGAACAGCACTGATTTCAGTAGCATAACTTGGATATGAAACCTGGGGAAAAAAATTGTGCCATGGCATTCAGGGCATCACTTTTGGATATCCCTTAATCATAGGGGCAGTAATCATAATCATATAATCATAAAATTGTAATCAACAGTAGTTTCATCTACCTTCAAAATCTTAACTGTTTCACATTTCTTAATACTGCTGCGTTTCTCAAAATATATAAGGAGGCTTTTGTCCAGAACTGAAATCCATGCATGATTTATGCTTTCTAAGGGTGAAAAGTATTGAAGTTTGCTTTAAATTTTTTTAATTTAAAAACACTTAAAAGACAGTCTTGCTCATTATCAAATTAATGCATTCTAATTATACTGTATTCTATACTTCACTGATTTGTAACAAATTAACAGAATTTAAAGTTCACATGAACATGCCTGAGGCCATAAGCATTCTATTAAGTATCATTCAATTGATATAATTTGATTTAACATTCCACACTAACTGAATGAAATAAAATAGTAACTTTGGTATTAACTTTTTTATCTTATAGGGTGTGCAGACAGAAGTTGGCCTTGCTATGGCAAAGTTCTATGTTTTTGTTTCCCAGTAAGCAGCTATTCCCAGAAATGTTTTGTGTCAGACTGTGTGCTCGCTCACGTGGCATGTAAGAGTAACTGTGAGAGTCATGCATTTCTTACTTCAGAAAGTACCTGTTGATAATCTCCCCTTCAGTCACTTTGCAGCGTATTCTGTAGTCTCGGTATGGAGGTCTTCTCTTAGTGTTTACCAGATCCAGAACTGGCCCTGCTTGGGCAATGTTGTTATGGGAGAGAGAAACTACTTCCAAGTCTCAAAGGGCTCAAGGCGATTCTCTGTGAAGTCAGGAGATAGTTTCCTATTAACCGCATGGAGAATTAGAGCTTGTCCCTTGAGACTTATTTGAGAACCTGCTTGGAAAGGAGGTATCTTACTTCCTAGCTTTTCAGGCACAATGTATCTGTCTTTTTCTTTCTGCTGCTGTTGCAACTCTGGCACTTTGTACAGTGCTCACAGGGAAACTTGAAAACTTTCACCTCCTAGGAGTCAGCACTAGTGGTTGTAGTATGCATCATTTACAAGGAGTAGGAGGGCACTTTGGTGTAACACAGCTTGTCTTGCATACTGCAGTGTTCCTGCTGTTTTGACATTTCTCTAGAGAACTGAGCTGTTAAGAGATATCTAAAAGATGCACACACACACACTAATTTGGGAAAAGATGGAGAGGTTTCAGTGTGACCTAGTGTGTTGTCCTAGGGTATAACATATGAAGATATGATCCTAGTGTGTTGTCCTAGGGTATAACATATGAAGATATGATTAGCTACAAAAATTACGGTAATTAAGATACCTTTTCAGCTGCACTCCTTATATTAAGGGTGCAAAGAAGAGGAAATGTTTAAAAAACTTCTACATCTTTCTGCCATCACAGGCATCTTTATCAGATAAGTTTTTATCATCTTTGTAACTCCTGTCACCAGAATACACTTAAACAAGACTCAGGTTACACGCCCAGAAGATGAGCAGAGCGTTGGCAATTGCTTGTGTTTCCCTTTCCCCTGGGATGATTTGTAGCTGCGTTGCACAGTCACCTGTGGGTACTGCTTGTTCCTTCTCGTTTCTACATGAACAGTCACTGCTGTATAAAATGCACAGTTAAACAAGTAGTTTAGGTACACCATAGTCTGCTACTTGGGCCCCCAAATGATAGTTGTGTCGTAAATGCAATCTTGAAAATTAGTAAGCAATTATACTTTTGCTTTTATGTAAGATTTGGGCTAAAAGAGACCTAAACTTCATGGAAGTGGTTCTTAGTAAAGTGTACTCTTCAAAGGAGATGTACCAGAACTCAAGGTTTCTTCAAAATATTCATGAATGAAAGTGAACATATTCAGACATCTGACTGTGTGGTGCTCTTGTCGGAAGTGGTAATGTAGGAATGTTTTGGGGTTTGTGTGTCAATGTAAAATGCTGCTGTTAAAGTTACAGTACCCAGCTGTGAAAATTGGAGAAATTAAAAATTAGCATTGTGCATCTGGCCAGGGACTGCAGGAGCCACATTCCAAGGGGCAGGTAATACTAAGCACCTTCAAAACATGAGTCTCTGTTTACCTATTTAATACAAAGAGTAATAAACAACTTAAAGTATAATTAACCTACAAACCACTCTCCATATGCAAAAATAATTTTAGTTAAGGAAAAAGAGCACATTGAACATAGTTCAGAAGAATATTGTCATTGATCTTGCTTTTAAAATCTTGCTTTAGTGAGTTTACACCATTTAGTCATGGAAAATACTGTTAGTTATCATAAACAGATGACTTGGCAAGATGAGCATAACACTGAAATTCTGTTCTCACCAGGACAGAAAATCTTAGATAAAAAAAAGACTTGGTAAGGTAAAATAGACACCACCACTGTCTATGAAGGACTGTTTTCACATCTACAGTAACTTACAGGAATGGAGTCAGAAATATGCACCATCCTTTTAAAAAAAATGGCCAAATCAATGGACTGGAGCTTCTAGCCAAATATAAATCCTAGCCCAGAAAGTCAAGGAATGAAATAACAGAGGTGAAAAAATGCAGGTGTGCAGTCGTGGACACCTTTTTGAACTCTTGGTTCTCAGCCCAGACAGACACAGAGATTCATCCCAGTTGTGCTCAGTAGATAATGAGGGTGGAACCAGGTTTTGCTGTTCATACTGCTCTTCTTCTCTTTGCTTTGCTTTGCTTTAGGGGTGGTCATGTTTTGATAGATGGTTTGCAATTCTGACTTTTCTTTATGAAACTTTTTTTTTATCTTTTACCTGTATTCTGACTCGTTGATTCTGCTAGCAGCATGTTGCTCCTCTGTCACTTCACTTGGATAGCATCCTGCACTGTGAAACTAGTATTAAGGAGTGTGTGTTTTATACTTGAATGCTCCTCTGATGATGTAAAGCTGGCCCAGGAGAACCTTAGAAAATATCAGAAAGCACAACTAGATCTGTAACAAGGGAATACATTTTAAACTGCAACTCCTTTTTAATCAAATCTGTAAGCCTTAATGAATCAATTTGGACATGCAGATATCGTTGATAAATATTGAAATAAATCAACTGAACTGTAGTGTTTTTCTAGAGATTTTGTTGCTTTGTTTTTCTTTTCTATATATTGAACTAGATCTAGCCACATGTAACTTAGGGCTTGAAGGATGCCTTAGTTTCCTGGAACTGCCCATGTGAGATTTAAAAACCGCAATACTGAAGTGTGGTTTGTATAATTTCCTGGTTCACAGGGCTGGTGTGCATTGTTTTATTCGTGATGGTTTTCTTTTCTTAAAAATTCAGGTATCCTTTCCTGTCCTGTGTGCAAACAGACCTGCTTTGCAAGGGATGTAGTTGAGAATTTCTTCCTCCAGGACTTTGCGACTGGTGATTCAGCCATGGCAAAGGTAAGTGAAAACCACTAAGTTGGTTTCCTTGTGGGCTGTTGAAACAGTATCAGATGAACACTGAAAACAGAGCAAATTTTGTTTTGAACAACAGACTCAACAGTTTGCTTAGGCAGCACTGGAATTATTTCACTACTAGAGATGGACATACTGACTTCATAGTACTTTTTCAATTTCAGTTGGAGAATGAGTTTTACTCTCTATATTACAAATAACCAATTAAAAACATTGATCCTAGTGTATCTGTGATAATCAATAATTAGGAAGATACTGAAACTCCTGGATTCCTCATTGCCCTCTTTCTGCTCTCAACAAAAAGTAAAAAAATCACAGAATAGTCAGTGTTATAAGGGACCTCTGGAGATCACCCAGTCCAACCTCCCCACAAAGGCAGGGTCACCTAGAACAGGTGCACAGGAACATGTACAGGAGGGTTTTGAATGTATCCAGAGAGGGAAACTCCATGACTTTCCTGGGCAACCTGTTCCAGTGCTCTACCACCCTCAATGTAAAGAAATTCTTCCTCATGTCAAGATGGAACTTCTTGTGTTATAGTTTGTCCATTGCTCCTCATTCTGTCACTGGGCACCACTGAAAAGAGTCTGGTGCCATCCCCTTGGCAACCCTTTGAGATATTTATATGCATTAATGAGGTCCCATCTCAGTCTTCTCATGCCCAGTTCGCACAGTCTCCCCTCACAGGAGAGATGCTCAGGACCCCTCATCATCTTTGTGGCCTCCACTGGACCTTCTCCAGTGGCTTCTTGTTTCTTTGATCTGTGTAGACAAGAATTGAACACAGTACTCCAGATGTGGCCTCCCTAGGGCTGAGCAGAGGGGGAAGATTGCCTCCTTGACCTGGTGGCCGCAGCAGCAGATTGTTGACTGAGTGGTTACAATAATATTACCCATTAGATTGTGTGGGCAATGATCATTTTCTAATTGTCTGTTCAAAGGGTGATCAGAAGACAAAGGATTACTACCTTGGCCTTGTATTGATACTATACACAGATGGATTTCACTTATGTTAAATACCCAGTTAACAGGCAGGACTATTCTTGCAGTTTTGTAGTTGCCACTACTTTGGGTTGACAGGAGGGACAAAGGACAGAAAAAGGTGTGTCTCTTCCCCCTATGTTACAAAACACTATTATTTGCATGAGCAAGATTGATTTCAGAATGTGATAGTATCACCTGAAAACTTGTCAAAATTATTCTGTAGTCTGCTGGCTGCTTTATGCAAAATGGGGTCCAAAGCAAGGGAAGAGTAATAAAAGAGTAGGGGTACAGGACTTCACCTTCTGCACCAGCTCCTGGGTATCAGTTTGTCTCTTTTGCACTTTTGATTCCTAAGGAAGCTAGATAGCCATATTGGATATTCAGTTTCAGGGACTTTGGGTGGAGGTGAACACTTTTTCCTTAATGTAAGAAAAGAGGATATGTCTTTCCACTCCACTTAACCTCTGTAGAGGCAGCAACAATTTGTAGATCAGTTCTGTCCCGTGCAGAAGGCTCGAGACCTCTTTAAGTTGAACCAGTGGCTTTCCCAGCGACATGATTGGAAAAAGTTCTAGAGGGGATGCACTTCTTCCCTGTCAGTCATTTCTGTGTTTCATTTTTTCTGTTGTTAAAAAGTAAATAACGTGTAACCTAATCCCTGGAATGTTCTGGGGAAATAAAGTCAATGCAAGCCAAGTGTGTTGACATTCTCAGGTATAAGTTGCTTGTAGAGTGCAACATAACTCGATCTAAAGCAAGAAGGGGTCTATTCACATGCACTCTTCAAAGAGAAGCAGCAAATTCATGAGATATTGCTGAATGTTTAAAATGCACTTACTATACTGGGATTTCTTAATTACTGTGACTCGCGTCATTTACTTTTCAATGAGAATTTGTGTAGAAAGGAAATCAAATGAGAATATCTAACGTCTTCAAAAGCACTAGATTATTTTTTTTCAAACCATCTTTAAAAAAAGGTTTTTCTTTTCTGTAATCCCTTAGGAGCCCTAAGAGCTGTTCAGTAAAGCATATTTCTCACTGGAGCATATGAGTACCCTAGAGCAAATTGTGAACCTTCCTCACACTTTTTGGCTTACTTCCTTTTTATTAACAGTCAAGTCATGTAGCTTGCTTGCTTACTGTCTTTAACCACTACCATCAGCCCCCAAATTAAAGCCATAGTTTCACCATCGGTGACATCAAAAGGAGAAGCACCAGGTCATCTAGCTGAGACAGCTGAACTGCCATCATTCTCTTAATTTACCTAATATGTTCAAATGGGAATCTGTCAGGGAAGCAAGATGTCTCTCAGTGAGATAGTGAAGCATGAATGATAGAATGTGCTATATGCCAGCAGCAGGAGTTTCAAAAATACGCAATTCAGAATCTCTTGCCCAAAAGCCTATTTCCAAATCATAAATAATGTAACTCTGGACACACTCTGCAACTTAAAAGTAATGTTAACACTGAACAGTGTCAACATAAATTCTAGTCAGACTGACAGCTGAACTGTTACAGGTAAACCTGTGTTTAAGCAGTTTTGGTTATTGCAGAGAAGGAAGAGCATCACTCAACTTTTGACCTGATCCCTAAGCTGGCCCTTGATGGGCCTACATTTTATATACTTCTTTTTATATAACCAGCTTTCCTCCCAAGCATAAATAGCCTTGCATTTTGGTTATGTAAGTTTTTTTAGGCTTTTTTGGTTTAAATTATGACATGTACCTTTTGGAAAAAAATGTTGATAAGCAAATGGCTAAAATAGCAGAATGGCTTGCACAGGCAGTTCCCTCTCTAGACAATTAAACACATTTGAAATTTTGCTTTGTTGTCTTATTGTCAAGAATTGCCCAATCTGTTAGAAAAAGATTGTGAATATTTAGAAACTTTTGAACAATGAGTTGATAAGAATGGTTTGTACAATGCTAAACCAAATAGAGTAAGCTCTAATTTTAAATAAAGCAGTATAGATTTAGAGTAGCTCTGCTGACATAGCTCCAGTTTACTTTCATATACATGAAAGCAGAAATAGCCAACTTTTTTTTTAGTTCCTTAATAAATAATTAGTGACAAACATAAATTAATGCATGACACTAAAATGGTATGATAAAATGCTTTTGCATAATGCTATGATTACAAAGGAAATGGTAGTTAGATTAAAAAAACTTTTTGATGGACTTTCTAACATTCCACAAATTTACTGGGCAGCCTAGACTATCTTTTCTGAGGTAGAAAATATCTGTGTCTATCTATGTAAATATATATATATACACATATATAAAAGTAAGATGTACACTCATTTGATGTGTTAAAGCCATCAGTAAGTACTACAGCACTAACAGAAAGGGATAGAGCACACGTCTCATTTTCAAAGTGACTTTTAACCTAACCCTCCTTAACTTAAATCAGACAAGTCTTATTTCCTAGTTTCATTGCTTTTTCAGTTCACAAGAAACAAGTCATTATGATTATTTCTTCTGACTTCATGTGTAACATGGAGCCTAGAATTTTGCTAAATAATTGTTGCATCATGTCATAATAATGTTTGATTGTGCTAAAGCACAGAAAGACAACCAATTTTATTTGAAAGCTTCAAGTCTTAATTTTATTCTTCTCTCCTTTGTACCATAACCAGACTCTTAAGATAACTTGAATTGCATTAGTCTGAGAACAGAAAACATTAAGCTTACTAGTCTGAATCATGGTCTACTAAAAATAAGTTTGTACAGTTCATTTGTTATCCATGTATGTAATTGCACTTTTTGTTCTTAGAGCTGCTCCATGTGTAAAGAGAAGAGACCTGCTCACAGCCTCTGTACCAGATGCAATAAGTGGCTGTGCAGTTCATGTACAGAGGAGCACAGACATGGCAAGGAAACTGGAGACCGCTTCCTGTCTGTATCCCTGAAAGGCTGCACAGGTACTGAACACACACTGAAATTTCATTTCTTCTCATATCAGTTATTCAGTTGAAAAAGGAGTAGTTGCAGGCTCTGTGCCACAGACACTGTGCCCTGGCTGCGTGACTCAGAAGGTTATGTACCTCTCAATGAGACATTACGTGATTTTTCTCCAACTTTAAGGCTATTGCCACAATCAGCATTCCACAATATTAGAAAAAGTTTGGATATTTGTGTTTCACAGGTATGATCTTCTCCATATGCCTTTCCAATATGTGGAGTGAGGAAGGCTACAAGAGCAACAGGCCTTACCCTTTTAGTATTTCTGTCCTCCTTTGTGTAATTTCATTCAGAAAACTATGATAAAGCAATTCCTGTGCACGTTGGCAAGGTGTATGAGAGGCAGTCACAGACAGCAAAAGGCTGTGATCACCACAGGATGTTCCTTTGCTAAACCTGGAAGGAAAAGCATATGTCCTGAGTGTATTTTGCCATGAGCAAGCATAAATGAAGCCCGCTGGCAAATATTTCTCATCCCTATACAATGATGATCCACAGAAAATATTACCATCTCCTGTTACTGCTCCTTATTTTCTTTACTCATATGCCAGAAATCTGCTGTGGAGTATCCTAACCTAAACTTATTTAAGCAATTTGTAACCTGAAATAAGAATTTTTCAATTTTATACAGTGATTTAAGTTTACACTTTGCTAAGGTATGAATTTATTTGTGCTAGAGAGTTTGTTCTGCGCTCTTGTTCTTTTTCATAAGGAAGATGAAGGACAGACAAAAGGAATAAATATAGCCAAACAGTTATACTTTTTATTTAATTTTTTTCTTTAGGATTTTTCTTGTAGAAGCTTGTACTTTGTACTTGCCAGGTTCTTTTAAGCACTGGGTGGTCATATCAAACAGAGTTTGAGGCACTTGAGACATGATATGCCTTTGCCAAATAGGGTGTAAACAAAAAAAAAATCTGTAAGAATGGTAATAATAAAAAAGCACAGATTATATTTAAGTGTTTTTTGGGTCTTTTCTAGAGAATAATATAAACTGAAGTCCCCCAGTCCCCTCTCAAATGCCCTGATTGGATGGACAATATGTTTTTCTTCTTAAGTTGATGACAAGATAAGGACTGTGGTTTTGAGGCTCCAACTGTTTATAATTTCATTTCACTTTAACTAAGATTACCAGCTCATATTGTTGACAAATACTGGTAAGAAAATGTATGTATGACTTAGTTGTGGGTTTGTGTGTGCTATATAAATAAAAAGATGCAAACACATAAAATGAGAAAGAATTTTAGGTTAGTGCTAAATTCTATATGCTGAAAAAAAACCCCCCATGAACAAGGGGATTGGTAGTGCATGTATAGGCTAGTTAATATAAAAAATTATTTGGAATGTAATCTGTGCATTATTATTATTATATATTTTATTTATTTAGGACATAGATATCCCCTGAGAATACTTCAAAGAAAGCAAACACTTGAACTCAGACTGTTGGTTTGGGGTTTTTTTGGCTTCTGGAAATAAACCATGCTCTGCTTTGAGATTCAATTGCCATCTTTGGTCTGTGTATAGTGCTTCTGAACAAGTCACCTTCTTTGTAAGCCTTTGCAACAATTAAGAGATCTTGCACCTTTAAACTGTTCTGTCTTTTGCCATTTGCTTTACAAGGGCCAGACCTTCTTTCGTCATCTGAAAAGTGTAAGATATCCTGGGTCTGAAATGAAGTAAAGTAGGAAAACTCCCTCATTAATCCTCCCTATTTCTATTAATTTTAATAAACCATTTCTTCCTTGAGTGACAGAACTAGATGAGGCTGACTTCCCTTGGAAACTTTTCTGCTTCTTCATGTGTAATACATCTGATCACCCCCTGCTATACAGAGCCTGCAGCTCTCTGACAGAATTCCCCTTCTAGTGACACTAGCACATCCTCTTACTTCCTTCCTGGGCCATCTACTGCTTGCTGAGTGAGATCCAGATCACACAGCTGAATGGCTGAGTTGGATGCCCAGCAGCACCCTTAACCTGGTGACTCCTGAGGCCGTGATGCAGAGCAGCGTGCCAACTTCATCCAATTTTTGAGAATTTACTCTTCATTCAAATTTGTATTTAGATGCTAAGGGCATGGGGAGAGGCAGGACTGAGCTGGGCCAGAAGAATGTAATATTTTGTAAGTGGAAAACAATTTTAAAGTAGCCTGATTTCATTTTGTCTACTGTCTCATCCTTTGTGAGTCTAAATAAAGGCTCACAAAATGACTACTGATGGTAGGGGATTCCCTGAGAGGGCTTCTTGGTATTGGAAATGGCTGATTTCTTTTTGGAAACAGCTTCATGAAACTACTTTATTTTTATCACTTCCATAACCTTTTGGTAACTTGGAGGTAGAGATGTGTGCCTGTGCTGGTTAGAGTTCATTGTTTTGAATGTGCTTCTTGAGAACCAGAATGGAAAGTTATGGGAGTGTTCTGAGTCCCAGTTGATTAGCTAAAAGTGTTACTGAACTTCTACCAAAAGACCTTGTTTTTTAAGCATAAAACCAGAAATATAGCACACACTGGACAGTGCTGTGATTCTCATCTCTCCGCTCCCCAACCCCCCCCAGTTTGCCACTATCATTATATGTTGTATAGTTGCTCTACTGTATTCTTGTTAGGTGAATCACTTCTAGAGGTACTATCAAAAATTGCAATTCTTTTTTGAGTGCCAGACAATTACTGCTGGTTATGAACATGAAGAGATGATGAGGTGAAGAGAACGTGATGTGATTCACAGATGAGTTAAACTGTGCTACTTACTGTTTTTCACACACACTGATGTTTCCCGAGAGTTAGGAAAAAAATGAAAACAAAAAAACCCCAACCCAAACCAAAAAACGAGACAAAAACAAAACAACAACAACAACAAACAAATGAAAAAACAAACCTGAAAAGTTTCTGGGTCTGTGACCACAAGATGTCAAAATTTTGAAATCTGCTTCTGGAATGAATTTGATGAGCACTGGAGAACTAGATGCTGGCATCATGGGCCAAAGCTTTATGACAGATCAAGCAGCAGTCTTGGAGGAATAATCTCTGAAGAATGAACATTTCACTGGAGGGCTCTGTATTAACACTAGGAATAAGTTAAATTAGTTAAGTTCAAAGTTCTTCAGAATTCTTGAACTGCTTAAAGTCACAAAACCAGAAGCTCCCTTAGTCCCAGCTTTCTCAAAAGAACATTAGGTATTAGTACAGACTCTTGTTATATGGAAATTTGTGCTTTGCAACTGAGAAGAAACAATCCTTTCATCAAAACTGTGTTAAGAGTAAATGATCTGGTACTGACATATCAGTTATTTACAGGCTAGTGCACAAACTGAATAATTTTCTCTTTGCTATACTATCCTTTTCTTTCAGCCTCTCAAGGTTAAGTATGAACCTGTAAAATCAAAGTCTGAGCCATTGCGATTCATGCAAGTGGAGGGAGAACTGTATTAGCTAAGATGAGATTGCTTTTCCAAAGTTGACATGAACTGGTTAGAGGAACAGAGACTGAAAACTTTCTGTTAATTATTCAAGAGATACACCTGAGATAAAGAAAATATAGGCTGTAGAAAATGGTGACTCATATGATGAATTATCAGAATTTAGGGCAACTGAGCTTTCCCTTTTCATCAAATGAGGTTCTTATCAAGAAACTAACATGGATAGTTGTGGTCAAGGTATATGCTTCTAGAAAAAACAGGCTTTTGCCCTTGTTTAGCACCTGATTTCTAAGTATTAAACTTATTTTTAAACTGAAGAGTGTTGCTCTGAGATGAGTGTAAAGTAAAGTAGGTCAAGAATACCACAGTTCAGTGGCAGTTCTCACTGACATGTCAATTGAGTCAGGGGATTACTAGTGGCAGAGGATGTGGGTCTGTGTTGTAATTAGATAACACTGATTTTATCCTTAGTTTGCATTTGGAATCTACCTGTCTCTTAAATCTGAAATGGTACTAAAAAAATCCCACTGATTTCTCTTGGATGATTACAATCACCAAAGGCTAAAGAACCCTTTACAGAGAGAAAAATGGAGAAATCATTATATAAGATTGTGACTAGGCTTCATTATACACAGACCTTAAAGACAGCATCTCATTATAAGCTGCAGTTTAATATGGATAATTCGATCTTGAGTTTTCAGAAAAACAACTTGTATGCTTTGTAGATTCTGAACACTTCCAGAGGTTTTTCCAACCCATGAATCTTGAGGTAGTTATTATGGTCTTTTTGTTTTCCTTTTAAGATGTGAAATCTGACCCTATAAGGGAGGAAAAGATGATCTTTGACATCCACATTGGTTACATATTAGTTATACAACCTGCTCGTTACATATTATTTGCACTGGCAGCTGCAGGTTTTAATACAAAAGTACATGTTTGCAATATAATCAGGAAAAAAATATTACTGTGAAGGTGAGTTCAGTTTATACCTTGCTAGAAGAAAGTATTGGAGAAGAATAAAAAAATCCAATCTAATTTCCTCTTTTAATAATGCTATCTATTAGGATTTGATTTAATAATTATATAAACCAATAAACTTCCCTGAAGAATAAAGCATGATACTGCAGTAAATAATTCATAACAATGTAAACTATGTAATGCTGTTACATAAAATCTCAGCCTAATCTTCCACAAATTATCTTGCACATTGTTAAGAAGGCGGAAGGAAAGTCAGTTGAACTGGAGGAAATAAATCAACTTTCTTAGAAATATTTAGAGTAGATAGCAATCTAAAAACTAGGCAATTTGATATGTTGTTTTAGAGCATGGCACGGATTTTCTCCCTATTTTCATTCTCATTATCAGCCATCAGATTTTCTTAGCCTTTCTACTTTTCTGTTGTGTCTTCTCTGTCACTTCTTCCAATTTGAAGTGATTGAGTCAGTATAGCTTGTTGTATGCTGTGGGTTTGTTATTGCAATATTATCACTTCAAAAGCTTGATTCTATAAAAGGCCCTGTTTTGCTACAGGATGAGAGGATGGTCTATGAGCAAATGATATATAAATAATAAATATTTTTTTTAAATTTAAAGGTTTTATCAATATTTGTTATTTAATAATGATTGTATTATTTAATTTCTCATGTGTTGATAAGGAATAATGGGATAATGTCTTTGTTGGAGTACTGTGAGGATACAATCATGTGATTTTTCTAGTTGTCCTATATGTATTCCAATGTGCTAATAACGTTGATGGTTCTGTGGACACAGGATTTGAACACTGACCTACATAAATCTGTCACTGTACCTGAGCTTGTGCTTTTTGTTCATTTTGAGAAAACAATATTTTTCACCAGTAATGGTGATGGCCTGTCCTTACATTGGTTAATAAAATTAGACTCTGGAATCTGTGCTTTTTGGGTCCAAGAAAAGAGCTTTGGCCTTAACTGTTAATGTAGATGTACCTCTGAATATCTAATTCCAGTGGTAGAGAGTTTGTTTTGCCATAGTTTAACTTTTCTTTTTTTTTTTTTCCTGGCATTCATGACAGTGTTCCTTTTTTCTGAAACAATTCTACCCTTCAGGAAAGAGGGCAAGAATAGATTGTACAGAAGCAATGCTTCCACTTTGCATATCCACTGTCCATTCTTACTCTTCATCACACTACTCTTTAGAAAATCCTTTTAAAAACAGGTTTTAGGGCCTAATATCAGCCCTAGCTGCTGAACTTTATAAACTGCATTGGACCAAACACAAATTTGAGAAACAATTGCTCATGTGACTTTTTAAGAATAAAAGGTTTCCTTGCTTCTGCTGTGACTGCAGGTTTATATAATGTGCTTGCTATTCTACATTTTACAGTCTGGTTTTCTTGAGTGGATTGCCAGACCAGGGCATTCAAAGTTGTGAGGCAAGTGCACCAAATCATGAGAGATACTTAAAACTCATGAGAATTTGGAGGACAATATGAATTTGTTTTGATGCCTCTTTTTCTGATCCCCTCTGATGTGCTCAGTTTGTAGGATGTACAGGGCCAGGAAAAAACATAAACAATCCCTGCTTCATATAATCAGATGGTTCCAGTTCTGCGCCCTTTAAAAATATCAAGACTTTCCATACAATTGTGAGTTTGGTTACTCTTTTTCTGAACTCTAATAGTAGTCTTTGTCAATGACACCCTTGTTTTAATTATTTCCCTCAGCAACTGAAGATGAAGCAAGCGAGTTCTCCTTATTTTGTCCAGTGCACACTCAAGAGCCACTCAGGCTGTTTTGTGAGACCTGTGACACCCTGACCTGCCGCAGCTGCCTTCTGGCAGAGCATAAGGAACACAGGTACCACACACTCATTGCTTAATCATAATCAAGGCTAAAACTGTAGCTAATCGATATCTAAGACTTTTCATCTGTGTTTCCTGTCAGCTGATGCTGCAGGCTGATCTGAACTCAAAAGCCACGGCAAACTCAGCTCAGTTGTCTTATGCCCAGGTGGTGTAGCATGTGGCTCACTGCCCTCAGAGGGGCGCTCCCTGCTCTCAGCAGTGTGTACCTTCCCAGTTGTACTGTCTGCCCAGGTGCTATGTATGCAGAGAGTTCCTCAGGACTGTACTCAAAGGCACAAGTTGAACTCTATTCTGAGCATGGTTCAAATACTTATGTTTGTCTCTACCAGGGGCTTCATGATTGTACAAGACCCAAGTTACCAATGCTCAAGCATGCTGCTTGCCTGTGGAACTGTAAGGAATGTTTATAGACAGGGACATGTTTTGTGACATGAGCCTGCCTGTATGAGGTTTGATAAGGTTCAGCTGCCACAGAGAGCACCTGTAGTAGAAAAGAGGCAGGGCATCATGTCCAGACAGGTATTAAGGCAGCTGGTCCCCTAAACTCATCAACTGATAGGTTGTTTATTTATGAACATGGAAAAACATAGTGTGAGAATTTCCCCTTCTTTTACAGGTTCAGACATCTTGAGGAAGCTCTGCAAAACCAGAGAGTTATTCTGGAAAATGTTGTAACTAAAGTGGAAGAGAAAAAAAGTGGGATTCAGGTTTCAGCTAAACAGATTGAAGACAGGTAATTGCTATGCATTATTTTTTTCCCATGAAAGTGGGTGATATGCAAAAATATTATTTTCACTAAATGTAGGTTAACAGAATTAAATGCAGCTGCTATATTTTTTTCTTGGAGGATAGGAAATAATAGGAGGATTAAAAATATCAAATTCATGTTTCAGTGGTGCTGACAAGTCATGGCATTGTAATACATGATTCCATAGTCTTTATAAGGCATGTGACAGCTGACTTCAGAGATAAGATTTTTTTTTTGGTATAATCTGGTTCTGAACTAGAATTTGAAAATATTAGGAATAAAGATAATTTTAAAAATACCTTATTTCTTAAAGAAACCTGAAAACAAGTTGCAATGAGTCAAGACTAATACAAAATTGAAAATATTTAATTATATGAACTGGATTTCAGCTGCTGGTTATGCAGTTAGTAGCTGTTGGATCTCTCTTTAGCATTAATGAAACCATTTCAAACACCTTCAAAGAGTACAAATCTATTTGTACTGTTTATGCTCTAGTATAAAGTGGAAGGTTTTTTGATGCATTCTGTGTGTATTTGTTGACAAAGAACTTAAGACTGTTCTTGGCATGATGTTTGCGTGAATCAATCAGCACAAGCATGTCACATCCAGAGAGCAGTGGTCAAAGTTCAGTGTCCAGATGGAGATTGGAGACAGCTGGTGTCCCTCAGGGGTCAGAATGGGACCAGTACTGTCTAATATCTTCATCAGTCACAGAGACAGTGAGATCAAGTGCACCCTCAGCAAGTTTGCAGCTGACTCCAAGCTGAGTGGTGCAGTTGACGTGCCTGAAGGATGGGATGCCATCCAGAGGGACCTGGACAAGCTCAAGTGGGCCCCTGTGAACCTCCTGAGGCTGAACATGGGCAAGTGCAATGTACTGCACCTGGGTCAGGGCAACCCCTGGTATCAAGAGAGGTTGGGGCATGAAGAGATTGAGGACAGCCCTGAAGAAGGACTTGGGAATATTGGTGGATGAAAAGCTGGATATTCACTGGCAGTGTGGGTTTCCAGCCCAGAAAACCAGTTATATCCTGGGCTGCATCAAGAGCAGTGTTGCCAGTAGGTCGAGGGAGGTGATTCTGTCCCTCTACTCCGTGCTGGTGAGATCTCACCTGGAGTACTGCATCCAACTCTGGAGTCCTCAGCACCAGAAACATGTGGACCTATTAGAGCAGCTCCAGAGAAATGCCATAAAGATGATCAGAGGGATGGAATACCTATGAGGATGTGCTGAGAGAGCTGGGGTTGTTCAGCCTGGAGGAGGGAAAGTTTCATGGAGACCTTATTGTGGCCTTTCAATACTTAGAAGTGGTTTCTAAAAAAGATGGGGACAGACTTTTCAGTAGGGCCTCTTGCGATAGGACAAGGGGTGATGGTTTTGAACTGAAAGAAAGTAGACTTAGACTAGATAGAAGGAGGAAAAGTTTTATGATGAAGGTGGTAAAACATTGGAACGTGTTGCCCAGAGGAGTAGCAGATGCCCCACTCCTGGAAACATTCAAGGCCGGGTTGGATGGGGCTTTCAGCAACTTAATCTAGTTGAAGATGTCCCTGCTCGTTGCAGGGGGTTTGAACTATAAGACCTTTGAAGTTCTCTTCCAACCCAAAACATTTTATAATTCTATGTTTAAAGAGAAGTGTGAGAAAACTAATGGGAAATGATACAACTTGCATTGGAGTTCCATCAACAGTTAGATCAGTTCTTGTAACAAATAACTACTGAGCTGTGAATAAATGACATACCAGTTGGCTTGTTCAGGGCTGTGTATCTCTTACCCGTAGGTTGCTTGAAGTAAAACATTTGTACAAAAAAGTAGAAAACCAAATAAAAATGGCCAAGATGGTTCTGATGAATGAAATCGATAAACGAACAAACATCCTTCTTGAACAACTTGAAGTAAGTAAGGCTAGTTTATTTGATATCTTGGGAAATTAAACTGAATTAAATTTAACCCCAGTGCCAATGGAAAGAATATAGACTGTGAGAGCTATTGCCCCTTTGTTTATATTTTCAAATATTTATTTTCTTTTTTTTTTTTCCTGCAGAATTTTATGTAGAATCAGTGGCTGACAAAGATTCAGGGTGAAGTGACAAAATGTTTACTTATCATGAGTCAACCACATTTTCTAATGCATTTACAGAGAATACGTGTGGACCTTTTGAGTACCTACAAAACAAAGCTTCTGGTTTTAATGTCTAACTTGTAGAAGCCCAGTAGCATCACAATTAATATCCTGTTTCAAAAATGATTCTTTGGTCTGCTTTCTGCAACAGACCCAGTAGTTTTGACTCTTCAATTTTTGGATGTCCGGTATATATGATTTTATTCTGAAATGTGCTGGGCACAAAAATTGCTGATCAGAGTTTCCAGTTCTTGGTTATTCTTGGGTCATTTAGGAGGTACAGGAAAGACAAGGCACTCAGCATGGGCTGACTACCTTGGAACTTATGTATTTTTATTCAAATGTGGTTACTCAGCTAAGTAGCTTTGCAAAAAAGAGAAATTTATGTTATCATTTTTATCTTTTTTAAGCATTAAGTAAATTCAGTGTTCATGTATTTTGACAACATTTCAGTGTTTGTCTGAGTTATCTATAACCACAGCTGAACTGTGTGCATGCACTTGCAGTGCTCAGTTGAAGTGCATTGTGGGGGCATTGGATGGAATTGGCAGGTGCGAGGTTCAAATCAGATAAGGGCAGGTTGTTCTTCACATAAATGGTAAATAAGTGTGAAACTCCAAGGTGCTATATACTGTGCATGGGTTCAAAAACAATTAGAGAAATTAATAGAAGAATATACTGAGGCTGATAATGTAGGCTCTGTTTTTGTGGTTCCTACATCATGGAGACCGGAAGACTGTTCTGAGGAAATGGTGCATGCTTCCCCTTGTGTATTCTTTCTTGAGTCTCTGCTGTTCTGTATTGTAAGAGCAAAAAAAGTGGTCCAGGTGCAATTTTGATCCAACTTCTACAGCTTTCTTGGGTTACATTAATCTGCTAAACCGAAGCCAGAATAATGCATATTGTTTGCTCCTGGGGAAGTCATTGCTCTTCCCGAATTCAGACATATCTCCTGAGTAGGATTTTCTTTCTTTTTATGATTGGTGGTTTAAAAAGAGTCTAAACAACAGTACTGCTGGAAATAATGCATAATGCAGTGCCAGTGATTGTATGCAATATGGGTGTCTGAAGAATTGACAGCTGTCTTCTACTGATTCACATTATTAACAGAAGATCACCAGTGAAAGGAAGCAGAAATTGGAGCAACAACTGCAAGGTGTTGTGGTTTTAGGCAGACAGGTAGAACACGTTCAGAACTTCATCAGCTGGGCCGTGTGCAGTAAAAGCAGCATCCCATTTCTCTTCAGTAAAGAACTGGTAAGAGCAATACTTATTTGGCAGTAATTGTGAGAACTGTTTTAAGGACTTAATGTTTCTCAAAGAATACATTTTTTCATGATCTTATAATTGTGAATAAAAGCATCATCCTTTGATTTGTCATCAGATTGTATTTCAGATCCAGCGTTTATTAGAGACAAACTGTAACACAGACATAGGCCCTCCTCTGAAGATCAGATTTACCTGGGATCCCTCCTACTGGACTAAACAACTATCCAATATGGGTAAGAAAAATATATTAGGCAAGTGCCCAAAGCTAGACTACACAGATATAGACAATCCAGTACTTTCCTGAAAGGGCTCTCCTTTTTTTGTTTTGACATCCAATTTTGAAAGTCTTGTCATGTTCTGAAGAAAAGCTAATGTAGCTGAGCTGTTTTCCCTCTAGTTATATCAATTCACCTATTAAAAGACATCATTACGTGTCAGATTCTTTTAGTATCTTAGTGGCCAAGGGACCTGAGCAGTCTTGAGACACTTACAATTAATGGGCACAGAGATGACTTTAGGACACTGACTACATAATAATTATTTATATAACAGATGTGCATTCTGTGACTTTGTTTCCCAGCTGCTGTGGGTTTTTACAGTAAATTCAGTTCAGTAGACTGATCAATGATCTAAAAGATCAGTTCTCTTCCCATTTTAAGATATTAAAAACTAAGTGGGATAAAACACTATCAAAAGTGTTGGAAGGAGTAATCTTCTCTTGACTAAAAGCATGAACAAGATCATTTCAGAGGTCACTTCTATTTCTAGCTTTTATGAATCTCACCTATGCAATATCAATCTCTTTTATTTTTGTCATTTTCTACCCTGGAAGCTGTCTTTTGTACCTGTGTTTATGGATGAGAGGATAAGCTTATCCTTTAGTAAAAGATGAAAATATGAGCCATATCCATCATTTAAGGTAAAATAAGTTAAGGTCAATTTTTCAAAGTGTTTGCTGTGTAATTCAACCATGAGTTCCACTGACATCAGTAGGAGTTTGCTATGCTTTGAAATCACTGCAAAATTTTGAAAAATTTGTCTTGAATGTATGTTGACAGACTGTTTAGACAGGATATTTTAGTATCTTTTATATATGAAATGTGAATGATGGTCATTTCCTTGTCTCCAATTTTTATTGTGTAAATTTGTCAAGACCATAGGAGAGAGTAAATTTGCCGTTTTTTCCAGGAGGTTTCACAGTGGAAGGTGGACACATTTCTCACTCAGATATGCTACTCTGTGGAAATGTTCAAGGGTTACAAACCTCTTTGTATCATGGGCACCATTCATCAGCACCGCAGCTGGAGCCCGTGAATAGCCAGGCACATCCATTTCCACCTGCAGTTCAGTGTTCTGCACCTGTGTGTTGCTCACACTGCCTCAGCATTCCACACCCGAACAAAGCTCAGCCTTCTTACCAGGACATAAACCACCATAAAAATTTTCGACAACCTCCCGAAATGCATCAGCAGCACTTTCCTCTGCAGTACAGCCTGCAGCAGCAACATGACAAAGAGCAGAGGGGTGCCCCCCAACCTGTGAAGCTAACGCAGTCAGGGCTGGAACAGCAGTCACGGTCGGAGCTGGAGAATGCATCTGGGAGGATGGGGAAGCACTTACCACCCCAGCAGCTGCAGCAAACCGCACCCCTGGGTTATGCTGTTGTGTCCCATGAGGCTCAGCAAGTTCACCCAAGCCATCCACAGTCATTCCGCACACAGGCTTCTTTGCAGTCATCGACTGGGCAAGCGCAGCTCGGTCACCTCCAGAAGATAAAATCCAACCACTTGCTGCAGCCACCCTCACAGCAGCAGCAGCTGCCTCTGCCATCACCACCATCGGGTCAGAGTGAGAGCACCCACAAGCAAGTCATCCAACAGAGCCTGGACATCATGCACCACCAGTTTGAACTGGAAGAGATGAAAAAGGATCTGGAACTTCTTCTTCAGGCCCAGGGACAGCCCAGCTTGCAGCTGAACCAAGCCAAGCCACCTCAGCACGTTCAACAGACCATAGTTGGTCAAATCAACTACATAGTAAGGCAGCCAGCGCCAGTGCAGCAGCAAAGCCAGGATGAAGCACATGTAAGTTCTCTAAAAATTCTTTCCTATTGTGTTTAGTCAATGTAAGCTCAGAAATGGGAGATACCTTTGACATTTCTTGTATTTGCTTGAACGTTCTATTGTTGTCTTGTCTATGAATGCAGCAGAGGCTTTATGCCTCATGCAGATCGGGCCAAAATTTTCTGTAAAGTGCTGCATAAAGAACCTGGATCCCAAAGGTCTGAAACTCAGACATGTTGAGCAGCATACGGGAGAACAAAAGCACCATCATTCCTCCTTACTTCCTAGTAAACAGGAAACTGCAGGACTGCAGTAGTCTCACTCTCCATTTCAACTCTTTTTTTTTTTTGTTTTAATAATTTGTTAATGTTTGAGAGAAATCTTTCTCCATTCTCTACTTATGGTTACTTCAAACATCTCTGTTGTTTTAGAGTCTTTTTGGGCTTATCATAATGTGTATAGTTTGAACTGATGTAAATTTATTACCACTTTTCTTTCCAAGATGTTGAAAACACAAATTCTTAATTGTGATTGGTAGGTCTCTGAGAGCTCCACAGAACCTGATGCCCAGAAGCCTGTCATTTCTCTTGACAAAAGTGATAGTCCCTCCCTGTCACAGTCACTAGATGAAGAAGCCAGTGTCAGCAGTCACTCCCCTGCAAGCACACTCCAGCAATCAGCTTTCCATCCAGTCAGAAAGGTATAAAAAACTTTTTTTTAAAAACAAAATTTAAAAAGAGAAAACATTATTTGATAATATTGAATACAGTTGGGCACTGGAGTTTGCAATTAGGTGGAAAAAATTAAAATACAGTAGAAGTCAACAACATGGAAGACATTCACAGCCTAGCCTTGTGTGCATTTCTCACCAGTAAAGGTGCCTACACACTGGGCTGTAGCCAAGAATCAACAACTCCTTTATAAGCTGGTAGTGTTTAGGTCTGGCTGGCATGATTGTTAAGCATGAGCTGGTAAATAAATAGAACCTCTCTTTCTTCACTGCTTAAATTCTGTCCAGCCCGTATCTCTAGGGATTTAACTCTTAGGACTTGCTAACTAGCATAGTAGCAGCAGTTAATTTGGGGGGAAAAAAAAAGAAAAGTCAGAGATGCTGATGAAATCAGGCCTGAGAAACATCCTGCAAAATAGTTGCCCTGGGAGTAACAACACTAATTATTACTGAAGATGTGTTGTCCAGAAGGGATATAATTCCATTGTACTTCTTCTTTTTGTTTGTATATAAGCAGAAAAATCATAGTTTCTGTATCTCTAGAATATTTTAGTATATAATAGAGCCAGGCTTTCATCCTTCCACCAGCTGTGAGGCCCTGACTATTGAAGAAGCAGCATGAACAAAACCAGGAGGGCTAATCCTTATCAGTAGATTCTTGCTGACTCTGGATATCACCTGTGCATTTGAAACAGAGGAGCTGCCTTTTAGTTCTCTGTACAGTTTGTTTAGAACACTCCAAACAGCACATTATGTTCTGGTTGCTCAAATCTGTTTGTTACTTCTGTGCATGGCTCGTTTTGTGTTCCATGTAGAAGTCTTTCATGGATATTTTCTCTTGGAATTTGTGTCTGGAATATTGTGGAAGTACTTGTCTTTCCTTACCAGCCTCAAAAAGGAAATTATTTTTCCTTCTTTAGTATGTAACTTCGTTAACTCAACATATTTATGATGCAATACCCACTCAGAGAATTGTTGGAGATCCCCTTGGGAGTTGTAGAGACATGGAAAGGTAATGATTATTGAGGACCTGAAAGCAGCATGCAAATCAAATTTGAAAACCATAAAGAAATCTGCAATTTCTCAATTAATCCTGTAAATGTGATGGAATTTCTGGATCAGGCTGATGGTGTCACAACATTCTGTGATGATGGTCTTTGGGTCTGAACTTTCACATGTGAACCTCTGAGGATACAACACAGGACTGAGGAAAGCTATGTGGATTTTCTAGGATAGGGCTACCTTTACTTTAGGATCTGATTGTAAAAACTGAAGATGTGTATTTAGGACCTGAGTAAGACCATGAACCTGAGCTAATACTTTTCGTGTAGTGTAAACATGTCCTCAAATTTTTTTGTGAAAGTGAATGGTGATGCTACCCAAGTAACTTTCAGAAGTTAAAGAAGCTGTCCTTTGTCTTCTGGACCTGTAATAGAAGGTTATTCCCAACACCTTAAACAAGAAAAGTCAGAAAGGGGGAAGTAGATGTGCAAGAGAGAGAGAGAGAGGGAAGTGTAGTCTGATGGGAAAAAAGGAGTAGTAAAGGAAGAAGGGCTGAGTTGTTGCTGTAGAAGTTGAGGTGACAAGAGAAGGATATTCCTAGAAGAAAAGAAAAGAATTTTTTTCTAGTGGTGCTGGGAAGTGTATGCTCTTGTGCAGAAAGCACAGGGATGTCTGGGTTTTTTTGGCTAGTTTTCTGATACCTCTGCAAGAAATGAGAACATTCAACAGCTACAGTACCCCATCTTTCCTTGTATTTATTTCTTCTAATGAGCTGTTTGGGATGAAGATGTAATGTGCTGACAGCTCTGGCTATTCTGAATTAGAAATGATGAAGGGAAACAGCACAGTAAGGAAACCCTTGAGATATAATCTTCATGAATGTTGTTTATAGATGTCTGACTGCTTTTGCTGACAATTGGATTAAATCTAGGTTTAAATGGGAGATTGGTTCCTGTTTAAGAACAAGGGAATGTATCTATTCATTCTCATCTCTGTTTCACCTGATTAAATATTTTTCACAGTCCTCTCCAGACAAAAATTTCTGTATAGGTGTTTGACCATTTACCCTCATATGGCCTGTATTCAGAACATTTCATCTCTCTCAAGTTCTTGGAGGACATGGAAAAAGTGAATGTGGACAAGTCTGAAACACTGCACTTGACAAATATGGTAGAGAGAATGGCTAGATAAACCTTTTGCTACCTGAAGAAGAACTGTGTTGTCCTTTGGAGAATAATTGGTGTTGGACTTCTTGGCCTCGTGTTGCAGTTCTGCTGAACTCTGACAGCCTTCAGTTGAGTACAGCATTCCTAGTGGAATAGGTAATTCTCTGTCTGCTGAGATCCTTTCATTAAAGAGAAAGCAGTGTGTACCTGAATTAACTGCTTAGTGATCTGTCAAAAAAAATAAAAAAATAAAAACTTTTTTTAGCCCAGTGGTTTCCTTTGTTTTGGAGTGGGGCAAGGCTTGATTGTGCATGCAATTAAACATCTATGCATTAACTTTGAAACATGCTTATGGTATGCATTTGATATTTTTGACTGATTAACTAGATAAATTGTCTGGATACAGGATCATATTTATGTGTGAAATAATACAGAGCAGATGCTAATAATAGTTTGGGATCACCACATTACTCATAAACAGGGAAATCATAAGTAGATGATTCAGATCATCCCGAAAAAGTACTACTAGTGTGAGGCACTCATGTGCCATGTGACAGCTTTTGAGTTCAAAGAGCACCTGTTCAAGTTATTCTGATAAGTACCGTTTTCTTCCCCTCACATTTAAAGCTGATTATTGATAAGCAGAAGTAGAAAAACAAGGATGAAACGCTTCACACATTTGTAAAATGTCCCCGTGTGTTACATTTCACCACCTATCAGGTGAAATGTAATGTTTAATTTCAGGGCAGAAATTAAATCTGGCTTCACTGTGCAGCAGAGTTTTGGCTTTCCAATTGTTCAAAGTAGAGTTTTCTAGCTGGCATTGTCACCAAGGCTACTGCAGTCTCAAAGTTCAGAGAAATTCCTGTCTGCCTACCTCCTCTGTATGCATGTGTATAATATAGCCTCTAAACATGTAAACTGCAGTTGTTGGTGGGAGTGTGTTCATATGTTTCACTGGTTTTGGAGCATTAATGGTAATATTTGTCAGCCTTTCTGTCTTTTTGTGTATTCTTCTAACTATACTTTCTCTGTGAATTAATTTTTTGTGCAGAATAAATGTTTCTATACTTCAACCATTGATTGTTTGATGCAAGTACTGTACTTAGCATAATTTTAGGCTTGATTAGCACCTTTTAAGAGCACAACACTAGAAAAGAAATTTTTCTTTCCATGTGCAAAATGGATATAATTTTCTCTTCATGGTCCCCTGCCAGTACACTTCAATCATGTAGCCAAGACCTCTGTTTTGGATTGTGGAATTGTTCCATCTCCATGCCTGTCAAATACCCAACCTCTCCAATAAGAATGCCAGCAAGACAGAGAACAAATTTCAGAATAACTTCAGTGATACCTGCACTTCAGTTCCAGGGAATTGTGCCAAGCTCTAGCAAACAAGTTTTACACAAGCTGTTGAATTGCTATGTTGCAGTGTGAAGGAATGAGCACTCAATTAGATTAACAGTTTTGTGGGAGGGGTTACCAACCTTCTGCAATGATATGGTCCTCTTGTTGCTTTTACATGGTATGGCATTGAGTTGTTAATTTGAACACAGGACTGGAGAGGTCATCTGGTCTGGAACAGAGGAGAGAATAATAAGATATTTTGAGCCTAATTGTGTTTTCAGGAGTAATAGAGGGAATACAATCTCTGTTTTGTTTGCGTGTACCTAATTGTCATTTCTGGTTGTGATGAGCAAGAGGTCTAAAGGCTGTACCTAGTGTTTGAAGAAAAGACACAATTACTGTACATCTGTAGCACAGATTTGTAGTTTGAGCCTCAGGTACTGCTGCAACAAACATTGGTGTTGTTGGAGGGCCAGCTGGACATCTCTCCTCCTCAGAATCCATAAGTGCACCCCTTTCTGTAGCTTGGAGCAAGACCTTTACTGCTGGGAGGGAGGATTCCTTGTCTACCAGTTGTTGAGTTGGGTCCTGGGTAGTGGAACATTCTATACCCTCCCCACTAATCCTAAAAACCTAACCAGCTTGGGTGTGGTTCTGTCTTCTGGGACACTGCTTACTTGTGAGTAAATTGGGTATTTGCAATTTGCATTTAGCAAACTCAGGTTTGGTTATGTTCTTTAGAAATTTTTGAGCTCCTTTGAGTTCCTTAGCTCTTCCCTTGAGCTATTAGTTCACCTTCTGCTTAAAGTGAATCTCTGAATATGTCATGCACTATATTAGTAAGTTATTACTGAAGAGTTGCATCAGATCATTCATAGCTGTAGCCAAAAGTAGATACTTAGGAAAGGGTGTAAGAAACAGACAAATATAAACTGATGATGAACAATCCCATCTTCTGAAAACCAGCACTTTAGGGACTTTCTGACCTGAAGGTTGTACCAACAGAGTTGTGTTTTGGAGCTCTTCATGGACCTGCCCTCTGTGAATTTTTCTAATCCATTTTTTGAGTCCATTTTAATACTATTGGTCTCTGCAGCATTCTACAACAACGGAGTTTTTCATTGCGTAAGTTCCTCTGTTTGCTTACTTTAAGTCTGTTTCCTGATAGTTCAGGCAGATGCCTTCTGGTTCTTGTGTTAGGAAAACTAGTGAATAATCACTCTGTATTCACAACCTTCATAATATCAGTATTGGATAGTCTATATTGAATTTACTCTCAAAGTTTCGTTTTGAAACTGAAAAGTGATTACTTGTCTCTCTAGAGTTGGGATTTTCTTTCATGAAAGCCATTCTATACTTTGGTCCTTTATATATTTGGTCATTTTCCCAATACTTTGCGGGTTTTGTAAATTATTTTTGAGACAGGGTGACCAGAAATAGTATTGAAAGTGTAAGCACATGGAAATGTTGTAGAGTGCTATAACGCTGATTTTTGTATTGTTCTTTTTGATTCGCAATAAGTCCCAGCTTCTTAGTTCAGGAGCTCCATTTGTCTCAAACACCATAAAGAACCTGAAGTGGGGAATTCCTAGAATATTCCATGCATCCAAGGAGCAATCTTCAGAGCACTCTGAGAGGTTTCTGTTTTATTCCAGTTATATGCAATGGTGGCATTTCATGCAAGACTGAGACACTGACAGTTTGTGGTAGAACCTGTCAACCTCTGTTCAGACTTGATGCACATGAATTTCTAGTCTCTGACATGCCAATGCCACTGTTGCTACAGGATTGTCAGAGAGAACAATTGACTTTGGTCTGCTGTTGGTGGCATTCTTGGGTATTTTGCCCCAACACATTTGTCCTAAGCTTTGTTAATGACACCTCTTCCATTTTGGTGGCAATAGTTTAACTGAACTACTGTGTTTGGTTTGTTTGTTTATTTGTTTTCTTTTTTCTTTAAAAACATGCAATTTGTGGAAGAGGGGTTGACAGACAGAGTAGAGGTTTTATTTTTTGTTAGCATTGCACAGAGCATGTTGTGATTACTTAGTGATTGAAGTAATAATAATTTAATATCCAACCCTAGAACTTCAAGTTCTGAGCTTGGGACCAAAGTGGGTTTGTTCTTGCTATTTTTTGGACCCTAATTACTATTAATTATAGGGGAATTAGTGATGAAGGAAATAATAACAGCCTGGAATTTAGGGTGCTACAAATTTCTGGAGAAACAGATTATGTTTTTTACTTTACAGAATTGAGATACTTACAGCACAAATATGTTCATGCTTAATGCAATTAGGTACATTTCCCAGAATGTTAATTTTACAAAACCTTTTTCCTCTGACCTGAAAAAAGAAAAGATAAATAAAACATGATGCTGCTTGCTCCATACAATCTCTTCCTCCTTCTGCTTTAAGCCAGCTCCAGTTTATTCAGACAAACTGTGAAGGAAGATTTGGATTCTTTTACTCGTGAAAACAGAAAGGAAATCCTTTGGATTCTGTTCTGAAACTGGAAAATACGAATAGGAAGCATGTGTAGCCTGTGTTATCAGTGCTGCTGTGCTCGGTGAGTTAAGCAACTGGATTGGAGTAGTACATTTGTTTAACCTTCCAGCATAATGAGCTGCCAGGGGGATTGCTCCACTTAATAGCAGCCGTTCATTACTCTGCAACCATTTGCAGCATGTTATTTCTCTTATAGCAAAGAGAATTGGCGGTTCCTAGTTTTAGCTTTCTTTATCTGTGACACTTAATGTCAACAGCCTTGAGACTTTGCCAAAACAATCCTAACAAATCCTAATCCCACTGTTTCAAGGTAAGTATTTGCTTCTCAGAATTCTTCTGTATTACTGCTGCATGTTTACACTGGACCTTTTTAAATGCAACAGAGATCAAAGAAATATTTGAACTGAACCATGTGTTTATTTTTTGTTTTCTGAAGGCACTTTGCATGTTCTTTCTTCTTACCTTTAACTACCATAGCTAAGAAATTTGTGGTAGAAGGCATTTTGGAGTAGTGATGCTGCTGCCATTATATTATAAGGATCATCAAACCGAAATTAATTATGAGACAATGAGAATTCCATTTATAATGTCACAGATGTAGTTCAGTGTGCCAGGCTGTACATTAAAATGTCAAAAAGTTCAAAATTAACCTACAGCTGAAGCCACCCTCTGCCCAAGAGCATAATTAATGCTTGTTGTTGTTCAAATGGTGCAATGTAAAAGCAATAGAGCTTTTATAAAATAGAGATAAATTCTTTAAAGGCATCCCACTTGCAAAAACTAGCTGAACTGTCAAGGGAAAAGAGAAATTTTTGCTAATGGCAAAAGAAATGATTATTTTAGGGAGTGAATTAATAGACTATTAATGAGCCTTGTTCCCAGTGCATTGTTCACTTCACACTTGACAGCAGCTCCATGGATCAGGATGGAATGTGTCTGTTCTTAACTGTGAGTTTTAATATTTTGTACTGAAAGATCATAATGTTGCTTCATCATTAAAATAACCACAAAATTAACTTTTGCCCCAAGGGAAAGACAGATGGCAATTTGATGGCCTCATTATTCTTTTTTCTTTTTAGCAAGAGTAAGGTTTTACATTGGCTTATATAATCTAAAAAGATCTCTGAAGAAACTGATGCTACCTAGAAGAGTAAAAAGGATGTAGCCAGATCATGTAATTGAATTTCACCTTCCTGAAAATTTTAGCTGTAAGAAAATTCCTGTGTGCGTGTCTGGTTTTCTTTTTTCTGTTTTTTTTTTTCCTTAGTAGGAGTCATCCCAGCGACTACTCTCAGTAAGTAAACTTGTCTCACTGAAGGCAGGACTAATCCCACCATTGCCTTAGTAGGGCTGACATCTCACCTGAGGTGTACACAGCTACACACGGAGGGTTTTCACAGGGTCAGGTCTCACTATGTGATAGATGATGGCTCGTGCTCACGAAGGAGTGAAGGAAGGTGTGTGTAGTGATTAGAAGTGAATGGCCAGAAGGTCTCCAGTTAACTTGCTATGAGCTCTGGGTGGTGTGCCTGCCACGTGTGTGCCTCAGCGTGCCCATTTCCAGTGGAGCACAGCGTTAGGTAGTTCCTCTTAACTCAGACAGGAATTTGTGGATGCTTTGTGCTTTGGAGAACATGATTAAATAAATATTTAACTGCCTCACAGGGATTTAATAATGCTCACTATGGACTTTGAAATGAGGGGAAAAGGCAAGGCTGGTTGCAGTTCATCTGTTTGGTTCAAGCACGAATTCTACTTATTTGTTTTATTTTTTGTAAGTGATGTGGGAACAATTCACATGTTTATTTTGTCATCTGAAAGAGACTTGTGATAAAAAGAGGGGTGGAACGAAAAGGAAAATGCAGACTCGATAGTCCACATTTGTCATTGCATTTGAGGGAACGTCTCACAAGCAAACTATGACATCAAATAAACACTTTTGATCTTTGTGGACTTCTTTAGGAGGTGTGGCCATGAAAGCTGGATTCCTCTCTGACCTACATACATAACTTTGGATTGAAACCTCGTTATTCTTAGGAATGCTCTATCAGACAGAACATATGGCAAATTGTGCCTTCACCAAGGCATTTCCTCCTTTGAGGTATTCTAGTTTTCAGCTCAAACTTTGACAAGTTCCAGCTACTTCCAAAAAGTTATCATATTTCAGGGAGCTTAAATTCAGGGGCGTTCATTTGACTCAAGAGGAGGAAAATGACCGATACCCTGGCTGCAGAAATCCAGTACTCTCTGGGATGCCTTCTACATGGAGGGACTGTTTAAAGCAGACTCACTGGAGCAATGTGTGATAGAATGGCACTGCAGAAGAGCTAACCTCTTTTTGTCTCAACTGCGGGCTATTTTGTCTCAATGAATTAAGTGGTTACTGTTCAGGCAAAGCTCCCACTGTGGCATCTACAGCAAATTGACAAAAAGGAGACTAAACTACATCCTTAGGTGGAAATTAGTGTCTGTGGGCAGAATGTCCTCAGCACATAGTTGATGTGCATTGGAAGCAGAGGAATTCAGAGACTGACTTTGACATTATATAGGGTTTACACAGGCACAACTGACAGCTCAGTCTAGTCTGCTGTCTTCACCACTGTGGGTTAAGATGGACAAAGATATCAAATCCAAAATGGTGTATAATTTGAGAAAAATACTAATCAAATCTAGGAAATGGGTCCTGTCTCAGATTCATTTTTAAGTTGCAGGCCTCTAGCAGACAAATAGTGCAACAATGAATTTAAACTCTAATTCAGATGCAATCAACACATTTCTATTGCCTCAATTTATATTACAATGAATGCTACTTACTGTATTGCAGTTAAATGAAAAGGATATATTCAGTCAATTATCAAGGGTGAAACAGCAATGAACTATGATAAAATAAAGGAAAAATTGCATATTCAAATGACACAGATCTGCATACTTAAAAATGCTTATGTTTACTGCGTATGGATGTTGCAAGAGTCTTGTTTTCAATACAGTCACACATTCCAGGATGTAAGACAGCTTAAGGAAGTAACCTAGATGGGTGGATTTGCTTTCGTTTGCATAACACTATCTCTGTGGATTTGATAGTGACAAATCATAAGGCAGTAGAAAATGCATATTGAGACTTCGGTAAATATTCCCTTTCTTTGAAAACTAGACATGTACATCCTTATTAGTACAGGTGGGCTGTTTCTGTATTTACACTGTAATATTTAAAGAAGAAATGCCTTTGGTTTTAGTGGGACAGACTCACTAAGTAGCATAAAGTTTTCAGCATCATGAAAAGGAACAATTGCTTCATCCACTTAGATTTGGAGCTTATTTCTTCTGAATCTTCTTTCTGAATAAAGTGATTTAAAGTTTTTTGATAAAATGATAAAATTTCTGATTTGAATCTTATTTCTTCTGGAATAATTTAATGGAAGGTAGTAGTGTTTGTACCAAGGTTTGATTTGGTACAGAATTCTACATGCTTAGGTTTCCCAGTCATTGTAGGAATTAAAAATCAGGATCCCTAAGGAAGACACTCTTAGTAAATCACAGAAGAGTCACCTAGTTATTGCCTTTTCCAGTTTTCAGTTTCAATGGTGGAAAATCTAAAACTTTTGGGAATAGTATGGGATTATGATAGGTTCTTACAGCCCTCAGACACAACTGTTTGATTATGTCTAGCTCAAACAGAGTATCTCATCTATTATAGACAGCAAAGTAGCACTTTGGTGCTAACCAGTTTATTAATATATTGGGGTTTTTCTCCTATTTGCTTTTCCCAGCATTCAGCATCCTTAAGCATCGTGGGCTTTTCAAACGATTTGGAAATGGAATTACCTCCGACAAGGCTTTCTAGCTCGGCTGATCCACAGGTGAAAGGTGCAGCTGCTGTAACACTTGGCCCATCCCCAAATGCCCTTTGTGACTGTGATGCTCCACAAGAACCAGTGCCCAGCTACAGCCTGGCATTGGGCAGAGCTCCAAGTGACCTGAGCCCTGGGAATCCTGCTGGCTTTGCACCAGGTGATGCACTGCAGGGCAGCACCAAATGCAAGGTAGGAATGGCTCAAACTCCTCTGCTGAGAGGGAATCCGCTTTCATTTACAACACATGTTACTGTTAGTCAATCAGTCAAAGATAGCTTTTTCAGTAAGTAAAGTTTTCCTTATCTGCTATTTGAAGACTGATTAAAAATTATTTTCTTAATATGGAAAGAAAGAAAACTAATAATAAAATGTGGTATTTTTTCCAACCCCCCTCACCCCATCTCCCGAAGCTGGAAAATGAAGACTTCAGTACTGTAGATTGTCTTCTAGAAAACAGCTTGGCTACTGCTGGGCAAGACGTAGTTAATGAATTAACTCTTTCTATGCAAAAAGTGATGGAAGAACCTATTAATCTTTCAATCAAAAAATCTCAGCATTGCACTTCTCCTTCTGAACTGCTCAGCAACACTGTTTTCCTACCTGTGAATACCAGAATGAGACAACTTAGAAGCGAAGAAGGTAAAAGGCTTTTAATTATTTCATTTAGGGTTTTGTTTGGTCTTTCTTTCTTAACTCTGTGCATTGCAAGCATTGCAAAGCAGTATGCTTATTAGTGTACTTACATGCAAATGTTCTTTCTAGCAAGCTTCAAATATTATCAGAGTACTTAATCCAATGGAAAAGTGTGTTTGATCTCATCTATGAAGGAAAAAAACACGGAAATTATATGCTTTGAATTTGTAACATACTTCATCTGTAAACCAGAAACGAGTGTGTCTGTGTGAAGTACCTGGGGTATTAGTTCTCTTAGAAGCACTCCTGTTAATGAGACCTGCAGTTATGACTATTGAAGAGCTGGTTTGAAGGGTCCAAATTCAATTAAAAAAAAAATTACTTCCCAAATGCAACGTGCCTTCTGCTAAGACCTTCACATCAGCAGCATACCAAATTTTTGTTAATATATTGCACGGTGTGTGCTTTTGCTTGGCTCTGTCTATTGTGGAACATTCCCTTCAGCCAAGACCTATTTCTTCAGCCTTAATGGAGAATTAGGCTTTACTTAACTCTTTTCATGGGCAAATTGCCAACATCGTTGTGCTACACTGTAAAGCCTCATTCCTGCAAACTCTGAAAGTCAATGGGACTACTCATGCAAGCAAGGGATTGCAGGATCAAGCTGTTATCCCGTGACTTATGCCAACATTTGGCTGCTTTTCTCTATAAAAGATGAATTAATATTTCTATCTCAGTGCTGTACTTTTATTCAGAGAACTCTAATTAGTACAAAGGAGGCCTAGCTCAGTGAGCCAAGGAAATGTATTTGTCTTCTCTTCTATGTCCTCTGCCAAATTGTTACAATTATTCCACAGTTATTTGTGTGAGTTGTAAGAATCAGGTACACCCCCAAAAAACTGTGTCTCGGTCAGACTGAAGTGTCTCTGAGAGGACCAGCTTTCTAATATCTGGTCTGGGTCGTGTGACACTACACCCTGAAAGCAGCCCCAGTGTACTGAATCTCACTGTCTATAACAGATGCTACAGATTTGCTCTGTACAAAGCACAGGTCCTGTTGTGCAATAGGATGGAAAGCCTAGCGTGTTGAGTTCAGTGCTGCTCCCTCTTCACAAGGAAGGATCAGGAGGGAGCAATTCCCATCCTGCTGTACCTGTTTAATGGTGTGCACTGAGGAGAGACCTGAGGAGATACAGTCACCATAAGCAGTGGGAGAGATGAATTCTGTTGCAAAGGCAGCGTTATCTCTGCTGGTGGCTCTCGGTAGGACTTTCTGGCTTCAGTGGTGCTGTGCTCCCAAACCCCATTCCTTCTGGTATATATCTCCAATGACTCATCCTTTTCTGATATCAAACCTAACCCAAACATTTCAGCCTAATTTAAAACAAAATACTTCTTATCCTAACCACAAGGGATGTGGTGAAAATTGTACATAATTTCATCATTTTCCACTCTTACAGCCACTTCTTATCATAGCTTGCATAAACACCCTCCCCTCCCCTTCTCTTTCCTAGACTAAACAATTCTGATGGTTTCAATCTCTCCTCATGGGTCAGGAGTTTGATTTTTTCAAAACCACATCATTCCTGCTGTGCTATTTTGGGTTCTCTGCAATTAAGGAGTGCTGCCCACAGCCAAGCGCAGTGCTGCAGCTGAGGCCTCTGGGGTGCCATGCAGAGCCAGGGTATCAGCTTCTTGTGTTTTACATTCCTTGCTGCTGGTAATAAGCTGCAAGATGGCATTCCTCTCTTTTGCAGCCAGCAGCATTAGAGGGTTGACTTCCATGTGGTGAGAAGTCCATGTTAACTCTTAGTTCCTTCTACAGAGCAGTTCCCTAGTTAGTTATTTTCCTTTGTGATTACATTAATCTGATCCTTTATAAGCATAATACAGTTAATTCAGTCTTATTGATTTGGGAGATTTTCCTTCTCTGATGTACTAAGGTCTATTTTTAAGAGTAAATATTCTCCAGTGTTTGTAACCCCTTTAGTTTGGCGTTTTCCACAAATTTTATAAGTACCATTATTTTATGGGCCAAGTTGCTGATGGAAATATTGTTTAATATAGCAGTCCAGAACAAGTGGAACATCCTCCGGTTTGACAATGTGCAGCAAGAGCTGACCCTGCCTCAGTGTGCAGTCACTCTTTAGTAATTCTGTCTGTCTTTCACCTGAGCAACAATCACAAGTGAATAATGCCTTAGCTGTGATGTGAAATGCCCCTTTCCTTGTCAGTCTTGTATTGTGTTTCCTGTGGCTGGAAATAACAGACTATCCTTAGAGGCACATTGCATTCAAGCTGTGGGTTAGGTACAGTTGACCCAAGCTAGATTTTCTTTTAAAAGGTATGTTTTCCTGGCCCTCACTTGTCTCCAGATAACCATGATATTAGGTTTGTTTCCTGTTAGTACTGACTATGTCAAACCAGTTCCTAGCAAAGGAAAGCATTACTATGACATTTGTCAGTTGCCTGGTCTACTGAGGACACCACTGGGGTGTTCATCTCTACGCTATCCCATCTCCCTGAAGTTGTTTTATTACTCTTGTGTCTAGTATTAGTCAAGAACTGCAGCTACTTGTATGCTTATATAGCAGATAGTTTTGAGTTCATGTGTTTATATGTTACAGACTTTGGATAGGAAGGAATTATAGTGTAACTTTTGTCCCTCAGTGGCAGATGGGAGACTCAGTTTTCTTCCTGTTTTCAAGAATTAGCCAGAAGCTTCTTAGCATGGGGCTGCAGACTACAGAGACTTCCTGAGCCTCGGGAGTTCAGACCTCAGTAGGTCTGTTTTTCTCAAGTGCAGGCTGTACAGCAAAGAGGATTACTTATGTTGTTCCATGTATATGGATGAATGTGACATGTATATAATTCCCTGGGAATGAAACCATTGCGACAAAATATTTTGTAAAGGCTCCTCATATTTCATACAGAAGCTGTGGTTAAAAGCAAAAAAGAAAGACAAAAGCTCTGTACCAGAAGAGAAAATAGCATACACATTTTCTATACATATAGATGAAACGATTCCATAATTCACTTATGATATCATATTAAACACCAGACAGAAGTACATGAATATTGAAGTACTTTCTACCCTAATCTGCCTGGGATATTATAAATATTTTATTCGTTTTCTTATCTTCTGTTCCAGATTCCAATGACTGTGAAAAGGAACATTTTGAAATGGATATGAAAAGCAATCAGAATGTCAGGTAGAGGAGTCTTTTTTATACGAAATCACTGGCCGTGAAATTTTATGCATGTATTTTGAAAATTTGTCATACTTAATGATAATGGAGAACTTAAAAAGAATACTAGATTCCTTATAGATAATAGTTCTGAAAGTTGTAAATTGCTCTCTTAAACTTGAAAACAACAATTAAAAAGAAGTGGTGAATTCATGTATTTCTGTTATTCTGTGTAATTTTCCAGAATGAATAAATACTTGCAAACTTATCTCACTTGGACAATTAAAACCTGTTAAGCCTAAATTAAAACCAAAAGATATCATGGGAACAGGATTAATACTATCTCAATAATTTTATAAAATTTTGTTTTCAGCTACTGCTGTGATAATATGTTCAAGTAAAGTTGATGATATGCTGTGTTCCTACTTGAAGCCAATCACACTTAAAAGTATCAAACATGACATAAATTGGGATAATTAAAACAAAAATATATGGAGCAGGGCAAAAGTTTAGCACAGAAGTTAGTAGTGCATTTACACATATGATTGAAGTGATTGAATCCACATTTCTTAAAGAATTGGCTTGTTCAAAGATGTCCAGATTTTCAACATTTAGCCAGCATAGTCACAGCTGCAAAGGGAAAGGAGCACAAATAATAGCACATGAAAAGTATTGAAACTGAGTGGGCAGAATTTTGTGGAATGTGGCTGAATTCAGCCATGTGTCCTTTTGACTACAGAGCTGGCCCCAAGGAGCAGAAGATTCCCTTTGTGAGACTGGAACGTCTGAAAATATGCACATCAGAAGTCGGGGAGCTGCCGGTGTTTAAGCTCCAGCCACAGGACAATGAGCAGGAGGGCAATTTCCTCCTCGTAATTGAATGTGGGACACGGTCTTCAAGTATGTCTATAAAGGTGAGTGGAATTGCCTGGAGGTTTGACTTGCCTTCTCCTACTCGTTTGTACCCACAGTTCTGAGAGTTATTATCCAGTAAACAAGTTTGTTGATTTGTTTCATCCTGGGATACTTCTGTGATGGGTTGAAGTAATAGGCAATGCAGCTTTGAGTTTGCTGTGTAGCTCCCTGATACTTCCATTTCTGAGAAGTCTGTCTCTGGGATTGGATAGCTGTAGTGTTTTTATACTCTAGTAAACAGTTTGGCTCACTTGTCTGATTACAAATATAGGATAAATAGCTTAAAACTGACTTGAATGTATATCTGAGTTATAGGAACCAATCCCAGAAATCACAGTGTAATAGACTTTTAAAAGCCTTGTATTCAATTGCTTCTTTGGAGTCTTGAGCATAAGCTTCTCTTCACAGAAAAGAGGAAAGACAAATTTCTGGTGGGAACAAAAACCTATACTGTTTTTGTTGTTTTGGTTTTGGTGTTTTTTCTTATTTGTTTGTTTGGTTGGTTGGGGAGGTTGTGGCTTTTTGCGGGAGTTTTTGATCTGTTTACTGTAAAATCTGCAAATACCATTGTAGAGTATCCTGTTTCTATCACCCTTGGTATGGAACCTGTGCAGCTCTCATAGTGCTATTGCACTGTGGTATGTGGAGAGAATAACTTGACCAAAATGACCTGGCCAGCCAGTGGCAGATCCCGAGCTGAGCATGGGCCTGCTGAACCCCAGTGCCCTCTCCAGTAGAGTTCACTGCAGAGAAATCACTTTGTCTGCAGATAACCACATGCTGATACATGAAAACAATGATTGTGTGATCCCAGATTTTTCTTCCTTCAAGATAAATAAAGATAGTCCACCTGAAGGAATGCAGTCTAAAGAAGAAAACTCAGAGGACAGGAAATTTCTCATATCCCAGGCTGCAGGACAGACACCATCTCCCCCTGTAGATACTCTGTCTGTTGATCAGAAGCTCAGCAATGGCATCTCCAGCATGAAAAAATCTCCAGTTACTCAGGAAGTCAGCCCAATTGAAAATGAGGATTTCTGTGCTGTGTGTCTTAACGGAGGAGAACTGTTGTGCTGCGATCACTGCCCCAAGGTTTTCCATCTCTCCTGCCACGTTCCAGCCCTGCTCAGCTTTCCAGTGTATGTATGACATTTCACTAATGTGCTGTTCCTACTCACTGCCTTGGGGCAAAATATATCCTCAGGGATGTATGTGTCAGCCTTATACTGCATCTCTCGCTTGCCCTTTTTGATGCTTTTCTTGGAAAGGGAAGAATTGTCTTACACGCTTGGAACTAGATGAATTATGAACAATTGTTTCCAGCCATGTGTGCCCTTTCTGCAGTTAACTGGCCAGTACAACAAAGGAGGTTGCAGACCTGAGACGTTGATGTGACTCACTGGAGAAAAATAAATTCCTAATTCTCATGTAACATCTGAAGTGTAGACATCAGCTCTTTTCTCCAAAAACAGAGACTAGCCCCAGAAAAAGGCAACCAGTGAATTTCTATTCAGTTTTCTAGCCAATTTTATGGGAAATTTAGGATTATCAGGGCTTATGTTAGAAATGTTTAGGACATTGGTTTCCCTAAGATATGTTGTCTAGCGAATTGTCACAGATGAATTGTGTGCAATGAGCCAGAAATAGATATACATCCACATACCAAACTCCAGACTTTAAAAGTTAGTGTGTTACTGTTGGTATGCAATTCTGAATTCTCTTATAAATCTTTATTAAGTGGGACCAAAGGCTACTACTTCATTTGTGCCAAGCCCAAATAACTGTCTCAGCTGAGAAAAATATGTTGCAAGATACTAGTTTGGAGATTGTGGTTTGTTCATTCTGCTCAAAAACCTGGAATTTTCAACTCCTCTAGTTTCAAACCAAAGTGTAAACCAAGTTTTCCTGTTTCAAATAAACTTCCTAGGCAAACTTAAATTCTAATGAAACAAATTAGTTCCCCTAACTAAAATTCTATATTCAGAGTTCTTTAATATATCTTCATCTATAGTTATTCAGACCCTGATGTTGCAGAATTTGTGTCACTGCCTTCATGAAATTCTTCAAGAGATTTTTGAAAATAGATCTACTAGAAAGGACACACATACCCTTGCAGAATTATGTCTATTTGGTTTGGGAACCCATGTACTAGTACACATTATGACCTTTTCTGATAATGTTGACTTCTTAGATAAATACATCAATTATCAAATGGATCTGGGTTTGTCTTATGACCCAGCTATTGCCTGTTTTACCTTAAAGTATTTTTAAAAGCAACACTTGAATCAATGCAGCTGCATACACTGCTGGCACATGATTTCAAACACTTAAAATTTTGTCTTTTTTCTTTTCCTTTGTGACAGAAAAAGTGTCATGAATAGAACCTGAAATTGCTACACTTCTAATTGGATTCAAATCCATTGAAGAACATCTAGTACAATGGGCTTCAGATTGCCTGCTATTGTAATACTAGTTAAGAATGAGACCTTCCAAATACAGTGATCTATGAGATTTGTTATTTGACAAGGTTGTGGAAAAAAACCAGCATGTTTTTGGTTTATTGTTTTGCAGGGGAGAGTGGGTGTGCACCCTTTGCCGTAATCCAGTGAAGCCTGAGGTAGAATATGACTGTGAAAACACACGCTACAGCCACAGCTATAATGTACAATATGGCCTTGATGACTGTGACCAGAAGGTGGGAATAACTGTATATTGTACTATTTAGAAAAGGCCATATGATCTCAGCATGAAGCTTTGCCTTTTCTTTGGAAAGATGATGGTTTTGACTTGGTTGCTACTCAAATGTTACAGACAGTAGCAAATAGAACAAAAGCAATCTTACTATTTAGTTATATCATTCTCTTCTTTCTAGGCATTACTGTTCAATTTTAAAATGAATGTCATGTTACAGAAAGATGAAACAGGCAGATCTTGACTTCTTTTCTGCTTTGAACAGGGAAGTCACACTCAGCAGCAGAGCAACTTCCCTGAGTCAATTTGTTCCTGGCTTTCTGACGCTGAATCTTTTTGCTTTAAGACTTGGCACTTCTCAGACATGAGACATCTACTTGGGCCAGTGAAATGACATTTTTGTGATGTAGACCCTTTTTGACTTTCATTCGGAATGAAATCATCATACAGTCTTCACATGTACTATTAGTTCCCCTGAACGTGATGTTTAGGCTGTTGATTCAGCCTAGATGAAAGCTTATCCCTTTACATACCCATTACCAGTTTCCTCTACCAAAATGAAAAAAAGTACCTTTTCTTAAAGTCCACTTGGTACTTGGAAGGCACAAGTTTCCAAACAGGTGGAAATCCTGTGTGTATTGTTGACGACTGGACAGAGAGGCTGAGTCCAAACAGCTGAGTGCAGATGTTGAACTGGCCCTGTGCAAAAGGAGCCTAATTTAATGCACTGGTCTAATCTGGGCACCAGTCATAAAGACAACAGCAATGATTCTCAGAGCGCTGGAACCCCTTGGCAAGACCTATGAGCACAGCCAAGCATTGCTCAATTCATCCATGCTGTTTCCAGACCTGAGCTACTCTGTCCATGCAGAGCTGGACATAACTTTTTTACGCTGATGTGATGCCCTTTTTTACTGGATTTGGTACAGCTGGACAGAAATTTTTGGGATCTGAATCTTGAGTAGTGAAGTTTCATTTAGAGAATTGAGATGAATAAAAATTCCATTGTTTGTGAGCAAATATGGCTTATGATGTTTTTGTAGTGCATTCTTTTTGCACTAGTGAAAAAACCAAAGACTATTATAAGTATTTATAATAGTTAACAATGATTAGACAAAACAATTTTCATACAGTACTACCAACTACATAACTTGCATCCATTTCTATGAATGGATATGAACAGTGTGAAACGTTTCCCATTTAACTGTTTCCAAACTGTTGCTGCTGTTCTTTTAGTCAAGAGCCAAGAAATAGATCTGAAGTGCAGAAAGGAAATAGTAACAGCAATTAGTTCCCAAGGGTTTCCAGGAAAGATACGTGCATACAAAGTTTTTTACATAGTTTCTTTTCTGCATTTCTTGACTATCCTTATTTTCAAAGCCATAAAAGTGCTATGAGGCAAAACATCCCCCTGATTAGGGTGAAGTGTGCCATTTTGCATCAGAAGTGCACAGTCTACATGAGAATTCTGTTGTTGTTAGTATGATTGATTAACTAAGGACAAGAATGAAACTCACTTCTTTTGCATTAAAATGTGTTTCAAATCTGGCTCCTACAGAAGTGTGAAAAGCTGGTGCTTTCCCTGTTCTGCAGTAATATGAGCCTCCCGTTCCATGAACCTGTCAGTCCCCTGGTAAGTACTGCACGTGCATGGATCAGAGGAAATACAAAGGATACTCTGGCACGCCTTGTAAATGTCTCCTTTATCTTCTTGAAAGATATTCATGAGGTTTTTTTCTGAACAGTATTGCTCAGCATGGAAGTTTTCCTCTTGCAAGTGCTTTGAAGGTGTCAGGTTGGAGGCAGGTAAATTGTGACCAGGTTTGGGTGCCAATTTAAGATGCTGGTAGAGTACTAAAGGTATCTGATAGGTTACAGTGATTAAAAAAATTGCCTCGCCATGTCCATGGAAAATGTTGTACTGCCATAAGAGAGGCCTGTTTTAGAAATAACCCTGGACTCCCTCTTTACCCTCTTGTGGACGACACCAGAAATGTGACCGTGTGTAGGGGAAGATGTAGAAACTATTGTTTCATCCATGTACTCAACATTTGCCATATTAACTGTCTGTTTTAAGGAAGATGGAGATTCACGGTGTTGTAACAATAGAACACAGTGAGAAACAGATTGGGGAAGGGAAAAATAAAGGTTTTATGTGAAGGAATAGTCCAGATAATGGTAAAAAACCTATTCCACCTAATAAAGCTTGTAATGAACTTATGGAACAAATTACCTAACAAGTAGGTTTAGACCAAAAAAGATTTAAGGAGTGTGATATCCTGGTAGCTAATGCCCATTGAAAGAGACTCTTGTTGAACTTTTAAAAGAGTGCACGGTATCTTGTTTTTGTCACTCTTGACAGACTACTTCCCACATTATCAGCTGCCCATATCTCAGCACATTCTTTTTGTAATTCCCTGGGGGAAATGTTAGATAATTGTCAGTGTTGCATATATTATTGATTATGGTTAAACAATGACGTTTATATCTGGGGATAAACTTTACAAAGCGCAAATAGCAGAGTGTAAATACTGAGTGTAAACACTGAAGTGTGCTATTTTCAAGTTCAGTCTTGCAAGCAAATATGTTTTTAATAAAACCAAAAAACACTCAGGAAGATAATGTAGGTAAGTGTAGGCACTAAAAAACTAGAACTCTCTTCCCTGATGAAAGGACTCGTCTGCAATGACTTCTGTTCAGACTTTGATAGAAGTCACTGGAGAAGAAATTAATTAATAAAACCAAATAAATTAAAAATGTTACATACTTGCATCTTATTCTTATTGCAGGCTCGGCATTATTATCAGATCATCAAAAGGCCAATGGATTTGTCAACCATACGAAAAAAGCTGCAGAAAAAGGACAAATCCCACTATGCTGCACCTGAGGAGCTTGTGACTGACGTGCGTCTCATGTTTTGGAACTGTGCAAAGTTCAATTATGTAGGTTTCTGGTGTGCATGGCTGGGGGGATACAAAGCAGAGGGTGGCTCTTGCAAGCTGTCACACTGGTTCTTTGGAAATCAGATATGGGATTGGGATAAACAGAAGTATCATTCAGTTTCGTTATTTGGAAATTGTGTTGGGTGTTTTGTAATGACAGAAATGAAGTTATATATGTATCTGAGAACTTGAGATACATATGGATCTAAAATTAAAGAGGGACATCTTAGTGGACCACTCTTTGGAATGTTGCTGAGTTTGCTGTGAGAAGCCAGTCATAGCCAACAAAATACCTAGGAAAAATCAAGTGTGTAGAAATTCCTAAGCAGTGATGACTGCTGTCTTTCTAGTTCACTGCACATCTCTTTTTATTAGAGGTGCAGAAACGTGTTCCTTAATAGCAGCATCTGGTTTTTACTTACACTGAAAATGCAGAGGGACTAATGGGCTGTAGAAAGTGTGCAGGAGACTAATGGAGATGTAGCAGACAGAAACAAGGCGAGACAAAGGGTAGGTTAGTTATTTGGTTTTGATCCTTGATGATTTCTGTGTGCAGTAACACTAAATAGTTATTGATTCTCTTACAGCCAGATTCAGAGGTTGCTGAGGCTGGACGATGCCTGGACGAATTCTTTGAGGACAAACTGAAGGAGATTTATCCAGACAGGCATTTTCCTTCGATGCAACAAGATGACTCTGATGCTGAAGAAGTGGAGAGCCAGAACAGCAAAATGCCGCCCCAGGATTTTCAGTGGCCGTCGTACGGACAGGAGTGCGTTCAGCCCAAAAGGAAACGCCGCCATGCTGTAAGATTGCAAAAGCAAAAGCATTTGCTTGCTAAGTGGCCACCCTGCTAATTCTGTTTACAGATACTGATGGGAAGTTTTGACAGGGCTGTGTGGGAAAACTGTCAAGATTGTATCACAGATATGTGATCAGTGCTACAATTTTATGTCAAGATCCTGTGAGTGGAATAAAGTGTCAGCTGTGTATAAGTGTGCGATCATGAACAAATGAAGCCTCTCAGGTCACACAGTTATCTTCCTAGCAGAGAACTCTGTCAAGACTTCTAAAAAGACCAAGCCCTTCAGCTATTCACTATCTGTTTCCTTTGTACACAGGAAAGTGAAAAAACTAAAAGAATGATGTTTCAGCCAGCTAACAGCCTTCCTCAGGTATGACCTCCTCAAGAGATGAGATTTGCTATGAGGAATCCAGAAGCATAACTGACAGAGTTAAGGTGTGTGGGAGGAAAGCAAAGCACTTGGGCTGTTTATTTAAACTCTCCTATTCTGCTGACCATATGCCTTATTTCTAAATCTTGTGGATAGATAACAGATCCAAAATGTTTGAATCTGTCAATATTCAATCTGTCAAATCACATATATGTTTTGCAGTGTTTACACTGAAGTACTAATGTTTTGGTCATAGTTAATGATGAATAATAATAAAAACATACTAATAATATCTAATACTGCAGTACCATTTTATAATCTGTTCAATGTGACATCTCTGTTTTATAGAGCACAGGTAACCATGTAATAATCTTGCAGCCTCAGTGTGAATGTTGGCCATGCTTTGTGGTAAATACATGTAGTCATTAAGGCTGTAATCCTGTTGTCTTATTCAATGATTTTTCTGGGAGCTTGACTGCTCAAAGCTTATGAGATACAGTATAATGTGATTATCTGATTAGCTATTTCTTTTGAAGCAGAGCATTTTTATTAAATCACAAAACAGCAAGTGCTAATAGTGCTAATGCTAGGGCTCTGTGTGAACTGTTTCTGAGTGCATACTGGATGCTCTGTTTGCAAGGCATGATTCTTCTGGAATCTAATTCATGCTTGGTAAAGCAGTGTGGGATTTCTTGGGTCTCAAAGGTAGCATTTTTATACAACACAGGCCAGTTGCTTTTCTATAAAGCAGATACTGGAATTCGGTAAATTAACTATGCAGTGAATTACATGGTTATAGAAGTGCCTATAAAATGATGTCATATATTTCTGATTTTCTCTTTGCTTATTTCTTGTAGTTGTGATTACCAGCAGTACTAGAAGATGATGAGAATGTATATATGTAGAAGCTCAAACAGAGTGAAAGGATGTCTAAGCTGAGGAGGTTTTTTGCTAAATTTCACAATGTATTGGCAGAATGCCACCAGGAGCAAGTTTAGAGTTCACTTGAACAAAGATTGCATGAAATTATAAAGTCTTAAGGGTGGGATAGGTAACATGACATCACACCTGAACAGAGTGATAAGCCTGCAAGTTGCTTCCCAGCTCTTCCAGAAGCAGGTGAGCCACATTTTTGCATGGCCAATGCTTTCTTCATGTGTGTGAGGGGTATCTTCCTCCTTGAAACTCTGCCTAATCTGGGCTGAAGTCCAACTCTGAGAGAGGAAGTTGTTGCAGATCTCAAAAGCAATTAAAGTTCATTTTAATTAGGTTCCTGTAAATAAAGATAATATTTTCAGCATAGTTTATATGGGCTATTTGGTCTGCTAACCATGTATGTTATTTTAGATAACACTTTAAAGTAAAGGTTTATATATGAAATAATAAGACATGAATGTTATATTCTTCTCTGTGTGACTTACTGTTTGTTGTTAACGGTAGTGAGCCAATGTTTTCTCTTCTTTGAAGAAATGAAAATCTGGATATTATAAACTGACTGGAAAACTGTGAGATGAAGAGACAGCCTTTTCATTTTCTATATATGAATTTGTATATGTTTGCTTTCTGTCTCCTGTTCTCAAAACAGTATCTTGGCACAGGGAAATGAGTGCAGGTTTGTCACTGAATTAATCACCCTTATCTGTGTTACAGGTGTCACTTTTTCTCGGTTCTCCACCAAAGACCTATCTGTTTTTTACCGTTAATAGTGCAAAAATGATATGCTGTCTAGCTTTCATCTAGGGGCAGTTCTAGAAATGGAAGAGACTATTGACAACTTCCTCTTTTCCTAGAGGAGCAGAGTCAACAAGAGCCTCCTTCTGTTTCTTAAAGGCTGTTTGTTAACTGTACCATTAGTTTTGGAGAACATATGTTTATAATAAAATTCATAGAGGATATATTATGCTTTTATTAAAAGTAGAAATTTGCCAGTTTGTCACCATATATAAGATATCCTTTGTGTGTGTGCTGGCACGACTCTATGACCTAAGCACTCTTAAGGCTAACTTTGATTCCGATTGCTTCACTAAGACATAGTAACTGTTAAAAAAAAACAACCTCATAAACTTCATGTCATGTTAGTAAGCAGAAGAAAACCTGAACTCGTAGGAATGACTTTCAAATACAGTTCTCTGGGTCACCAACTTCACAACACAGTGCATGTCATAAGAACAATGTTATCCATCTTGGATGTTGCCTTAAAATTGCTGGCTTGTGGTGTTCCCACTGCTGGAAACCATACCACCAGCACCCATAAATTCTTGCGGAGTTTACCCTGTCAAAGTCCAGTTGCAAACTGGTAACAGCACTGGCCATTATGAAAGGAAGGGTCTCTCTTCTAGAATTTAACAGCCCATGTGGCCCGAAAGAGAAGTGAGGGATTATGTAGTTACCTTTTCTTCTATCACACATCCTGTTTCACAATCCAGAATGTGTAGGAAAAGAAGCAAGGAGGAACACCTGAAGTTTTCCTGTGGAAGTAAGTATAGCAGAAACAAATGCCAGAAACTCTGGCAAATTCACTCGGTCCTGCAAATGTAACCAAGGGCTATGTGTAATGGGTTACATGTAGAATGGGAAAATCCTTTATGTATTTAAATAGTTGGAAAAGAGATTAATTCAGTAATAGGTCTGTTAAATAAGAAATTTGAATTTCATTCCCCCACAGACAATTTCAAAGACACACTTCATCCAGTATCATGAAAGAATGGCATTACAGTTAATACAAACAGGTGTTTAACAATACAGATTAATGAATGACTGCATGTTTATATGTGTAATGTGCATTGCTGAACAATAAAATATGTGAAATGCATTTTTGCACATCAATCTGAAATTTTTGCTCTGAGTACATCTGCTTTCAATTAATATATGGATTGTATAATATCATTTAACACTTATTAGCTGAGTTGTTCATGACTACTGATAGCAAAACAGAATGGTTATGAGAGCAGCTATGCTAACACAGGAGACAGTTTTCTGTTTGTGTAGCTATTTTTGATACCAAGTGGATATTTTGCTTTTTTCTTTTTCAATTACTGTAAGTTATTGAGAATCGAACATGAAATTAACAAGTAGCAAAAAATGTTTGTAGTTTAAATGTCTGTATATTTAATCTGAAGGAATCAGAAGAGGTATTCTAAAATTGAAAATGCTAGAAATTGAGGAATTAGAGAATAATTTACCAAAAAAACCCAACAATACTTTGGCAAGAAGTCAAACAGACACTGCAAGTGGTTTTCTGTCTTTATTGGTTCCTCTCAGTTTGGTTTATGAGAGAATAAAACTATCAGCATCAACTTTCTGACCTGGTGGCCTGCTGGTTTGAGGGATAAGGAATCCTCTCAGGGTTACAGCTGTGCTGCTTTTCAGACATAATTAGAAGATAATTTATAGATAGAGGTAACTTTTTTGTTGTAGAAATAGGAAAATGTAGGAAAACTTCTGGGCATGCAATTCCTTCAAGTGTCAAATATGGGCAATAGACTTCAAAGCTAAATACCAGCTGAGTTTCTCTGACTTTATTCAGATATCGAGTAAGATAATTTGGGGAAAACAAAGATAGGCAGTAGTTGTAGGTTAAGGAGGATGCATATCTTTTAAGGCTGTATTTGTAGATCAGGAGCAAGAAGTAAGAGATGGAGTGGTTGTTTATTGAGAAAAGCTACTATCTGTTCCTGTCCATTAGTAAATGTTTGTGAAAGTGCATTTTAGTGCATAACTGTGTGTGTTTTCATGAGAGCATTTAGCAGACTGGCAGTATTTAGACTAAGTAGACTTTTGTAGAAGTTTATATTAGGTTATCTAACAGTAAGAACATGGTATTTGGGTGGCTTTTTTAAGAAAAGTGTTTACTGTGGTGGGAATGTTACTGTGGAGATGCAAAATTGCAATGTTCAAATCTGTTGTCAGATGTCTAGCTCCAGTTGCTCCCTTTTCATTCCAAGTGTCTGAAAAGAGGTTCCTGAAAGATACTTTTCAGATAACTTCTTTTTGCTTAGGATGTAATTTTTAACAGATTCCATGTAAATTCCATCTCACAGTACATTATTTCTGTAAAAAAGTCTTTTTTAGGTTAAGGAGATAAGAGGTGCAAATGTTTTTCCCAGAGCAAATAGGGTAGTGTTTGAAGGTCAGAGAGTATTTTACTGCTTTTGGAGAGTGTTTGACATGATTAGCAGTTTTATGGAAGTAGCAACACTGATCTGTAGTTGTGTTGGGGATGTTGATTTGTAAGTTACTGTCTCATCTGTTGTGCCTAGGACAATACTGGCAGTAGGAAGAAGCAGTCTGATACTGAGGCAATGCTTATTACATTTGTTGTCAAAGTCATCAGGGGATTCCAGGTTTCTGATATAGATCATAGAGACATCATTTAATTATTTTAGGCATAACATAGATGCTATGTTCCTAGATGGTCTGTGCTGAGATGATATATCTGTCCTTTATTCCAACGTTCCTCCCTTACCTGGTGCATCTATTTGCTTGCCTCACTAGAATGACTTTTTGACAATGTGTCTCATTAACAGTGATCAGCTGACTTTAGATGGAAACAAAAAATCTATTTTTATACACTGGCACTTGGGCAGGAAATGAATATTTTTCTGTTTTTACTTACTACCTTGCTCTTGCTTCTGATGAAGTTAGTAAGAGAAGGAATGGTCCTTTCATCTCATAAATTCAGTACTTGCTCATTACTCTATGATATATATCCTGCTCTAGGAAAATCTATAGATGCTATTTCATTTTGTACAGTAGAGGCAGAGTTTCTTGATGCAGTACAGGGTATGGGACAAACAGGGAAGTTGAGAGATGCCTTATGAGAAATTTACGGTGAAAACATTGTAAAAGTTTCAAATCAGAGGTAACATTTGGATTGTACCTCTAGAAGGGTGAGATTTGCTCCTGGGGGTGGATGCTGCAGATTTAGCTGGTTGCCAGGTCTTGTGCTGACTTATCTCCTGGCCGAATGAACAAACATAGCACCCTAATAGTGCTTCAAATTTTGAACTATGCTCATAGAAACTCATAGGACTTAATCTGGTTTTATACTGGGCCCAGCAAATGTCAGCATATAGCCATCATTAAAGAGCATCAGAATAGTGATATCTTCGGACAATGAAAGTAAAACAGAAAACTGTGCAGGGTATGGAGTCGCAGGACATTTTAGGTAGTTATTTCTAGGTTGTATGGTAACTTGAAGGTCAGTGTGTTCATTCTGTAAATAATCATGTTTTTGCTGTTTACTACACTTATAATGTTTCCCTCAACAGCATTAAAACAGACCTAAATTTAAGTCAAGGAAATAGTTTATGCCCATGTCTATACCATATTGTGTAGTCTGTGGTGCATAGTGCAACACTTCTGAATTTACAACTCATTGGGCCTAGCTAAGCAGTTCTCTGCTGTAGCTGAACAGCAAATGGAAAACATCCTTAATCTTTAATACTGAAAACATTAATAGAATGAGATGATGACTGTAGAACCAGCAGACTACGCAAGTGTTCTGTATATCACAGAAATTAAACAAAAACCTTATAGGATATTTTAGTCTACAATATAAATAAGCAATATAGAGCTTAGATAAAGTGAAAATCAATTCAAAATTAATCCTTACATCCTACCCAAACTCTGTGCTACATCTTACCCATAGCTGTGAATACCTCAGGCATCTGCAGTGCAATATATAATTAACATATACAGGTGGGCTTTGGTTTATGAGAAATACCATTAAAAAATTCAATGTTTTAAGCAAGCACTGGACACCCCTTTGTTCCTTTTCCCCTGTGGTCTCTGAGGACTTTAGAAACATTGGTAAACTGGCTCTCATCCATGTTTTTGATGTACTCATAAATATTTCCCATTTATAACTGTGAAAAACAGTGTGATAAGCTAATGGAATGAGTGAACAGCAGAAGTGAAAATTGAATATACCCCTCGGACCTGGTTGCAGGATTATCATGGAGCAATGTTAAATGAAAGTATTGTGAGATGACTCAGGTTTGGAATGCAGAGCTGAAACCATTCATTAGGGAAGAGGGGATTTGGCTCTGACAGTGTGCTGTAAATGGTGCTCGAGTTTAGCATCTCCAGTCCTGGAGCAGATCGAGAATCACACAAAGCTTATCCTATCTACAGGAAAGTTCTGTTCAGTGAAGGGCAGTGGGGCAGTGCTCAGTCCACTGCTGCAAACCCACCACTGCCTCACAGCACAGGAGCAGCCGCTGTGGCCTGGGCAACATGGTGGTACCATGACTGTAGTCTCTGGCTAAGCAAGGTTATCTCAGGGATATTACAGACAGGATGGATTTTCTCTAGAGAATGAACCTCATAAAGGCTCTCCAGAAAGAATTTTCCGTACCATTCAAGAAAAAGGAAAGTTTTCGCGTTTATTTTTGATCTTTTAAATGCCACTAAAATCTCTGCAGTGCCAGCATTATTGATTGTCTTGAGTCTGCTGGACAAGAAGATCACAGCAATGACCTTTTGAGATGACAGTCTTGCTGCATGTTCGTAACTCTTGCATCATGTTCAAATCTCTTCCCAGAGTGCTAGCACTGTGCTGTGTTTTGTTGCATCATGCCAGCCTGAGCCCAGTGCCAAGGGGCTGGTAATCCCTGAGGGCAGGTGAGAAGCAACCTGCTGTGGACACATGCTTGGAGAGCTGGGAGCACTCTGGAGACATTCAGGCCCTGAGCTGGGAAAAGTGTCTCTCCAGCACATCCACCTGCTATCTAGATGACTCATGTTGTGTAAGGATATTTAATGGAACGAGAACATGTAAGTTCCCTCCTTTCACTGGTCTTCATTAGGGAATACTGTAAATATCTCAGTAAATTTTTAGCCTCTGAACTGAGCCTTCTATTCCACTGTCTAGAAGAGGAGATACCTGCAGAACTAGTCTGATTCTGTGTTTATTGGCTTTTACTGCTTCCAAATAATATATGTTCACTTTATGAGTAAATTTACATTGGTGGCCTCACCTTTTCCCAGCTGTCAGTACTGTAATGCCCTTCTCATTTTGAGTCAAGTTCTCCTGCATTATTAATTTACCAGTTTGTAATTAAATGATTAGCTAATCAAATTGTTCCCTCCAGAGTACCTGTGCAAATGCATTGAAGACTGATTGATTTAATCGAGGTCACTGAGAGATAATTCAGCCTAAACCTTATGAAGTGTGAGAAACAAAGATGAAGAGGTTCTTTGAGTTGGTAGAAGTATCTTTTAGCCTTGTGCATGCTTTCTTGTAATTTCAGTGAGGAGAAAAAAGTGTTTCTGGAACTAGAGATCCAAAATTACACAAACTTTTGTGTTCCTATTACCTTACCTGTTTAAAATGCAACTCAGACTTTAAAATGTATCATGATAATATCAGTTGTTTTCTCTTTTGTTTTACACTGTCTCATCCTATGGGAACAAAATGAGAATTCTTTTAATGGAATTGAAGGTGAATAAACACCAAAGGTGATACTGTGGGGGTGGCATTGCAATATTGTTATTGCTGGTTTTGTCAGAGAAATTAAGTCTGTGTTTAACTCTCTTCACTGATTTGAGAAAAACTGCTTTTGCAGCTCGTATGGAAAGGTAAAATGCTTACTCTGATGTAAAGAGGTGGGAGATGAAAATAAGGTGGTTTTATTTATTTCTCTCTCTGTTAGTTTTTGCAACCAAATAGGTGTTTTCTCAGGTTCCTCACAAGCATTTAGGTACTGCTCACTTCCAGAGGTGGTGGCACAGCCTGAACGGGTCGGTAAACTTTAAAGATGCAGCAAAGCTCGGGTTTTCGCTATGTTTCCTTCAGACCCAGGGACACAG